TGCCCTAACTTCCTCAGACGTGGTTGAAGCCTGACTTTTGAGTAAGAAAGTCTCACTCCTAGAACAGACGGCTGGGTGTACTTGGACTTAAGGGTGGACTTAACTTACAGCTTACTCTCTTGAGTCAGTGCCCGCTCGGAAGGTGTCTGGTCGTGCCCATTTCCCTAAGGCAGTGTCCCCATGTAGAGGCTTTGATTGTAAATTGCTCTGGGGACCGTAAGGTGAAGCTGGGTGGGCGCCTTGGGTTAACCCCAGCCTGTTGTTTTTTTTTTTTTTCCCCTTTGGAAACAAGTTTTTCAGAAATACCACAGATTAGTTGCAGGGCTTTCATTTACACTGTGTTATTTTAAACACAAACTGACCATTTAAAATGTATTTAATATTTCATAAAATTACTTAATAAATTTCAACAAGTGTTCTTAATTTAGAAATAGAATTTTGGAGGAATTAAAAAATATTTTAATGACTTTAATTGTGAATCTTTACAAGTAGACCTAGAAGTGATCCCATTAAAGTAAGGAATAGGGCAAAGGATACATTGTCTAATTCTAGCTAATGAAATAAGACAGCTATCTAATTCAAGCTAATGAAATAAGGTAGGAAGCAAAAATAAATGTGAAAGGAAAATTGTCATTTTTGCAGATAATAAAACTGCATTTTGCAACAAAAAAGAAAAGCCATTAAATAAGGAAAAATTAGTGATAAAATTAGCATACACGTTTCTCTGTTTCATCAGTAGTCTGTTCAAAAAGTAAAATGGTTAAGAATGTGTGAGAACAAAAACAAACAGTCCCTGGGAATACCTGGAGCTACAGAGGAATCCAGTGGGTTTTGCATAATCTTTTTCCCTCCTGGTTTTTCAAGGCAGGGCTTCTCTGTAGTCCTGGCTGTTCTGGAAACTCACTCTGTACACCAGACTGGCCTCAAACTCAAAAAGATCTGCCTGCTTCTACTGGGATTAAAGGCATGAACCACCACCTCTCTAGCCACAATCCTTTTTAAAAAGAATTTTCCTCCCCCTTTGTGGCATTCTAATGCTTAACTCATTCGGAATATTTAAAACCTAATCTCACAGCCAGGGCTATATGGAGAGACCCTGTCTCAAAAAAACAAAGGAACAAACCCTAATCTCTAGGTTTGTGTTTGTTTTTTTCCCCCCCCTTTTTGTCATTTTATTTGGAGATAGTTTCATGTAATCCAAGCTGGCCTTCAACTCCTTATGTAGCCAAGAGTAATTTTAAACTTCTGATCCTCCTGCCTCTGCCTCCACAATACTGAGTTTACAGGTGTATATTACTATTCCCAGGTTAACACTGGCAATTGAACCCAGGGCCTCCAGAGTACTAGGAAAGTACTCTACTGTGCTACATCTCCAGCCCATTCTTAGTTATTTTTAAGACTTGTGAAATTTCATTAATGTTTTGTTTACAAATTTAAGAATTTATATGTCAAAAAATTACTTGAGGGTCTGCAAGATGGTTCAGCAGATAAGGGTGCCTGCCTCCAAGCCTGAAGACCTACATTCAGTCCCTGGAACCCACATGATGAAATGAGAGAACCAACTTCTGTAAGTTTTCACACATGCACACACATGCATGTAAAAGTAAAACTTGGACAAATGCTTGAGACAACACCAGTTTAAACAGATTAAACTTTCTTAACTATTTTAAACCAGGTTAATTCTCTTAAGTATTTTAAGTTACAGTAGTTTTTTTCTTAATTCTCTCAGATACTTCTTATTTCTTTTCTTTTTTCTTCTGGTTGTGAGGGTGGGGATGTTTCCAGCCCTGGCTTTCCTGGAACTTGATCTGTAGATCAGGCTATAGTTCTTGGCCTTAAATTCACAGAGATCTACCTGCCTCTGCCTTCTGAGTGCTGTGATTAAAGACATGTGCCACCACTGCCCTGCTACTTCATATTTCTAAAGAGATAAACTTGTAAGCCTTATAGTAAGTTCTTTCCAAGATCATAACTCATAAATTTAATTGTATAAGTGCAATTTGGGTTCTTGTATGGACTTTAGAACTTAATTACATTTTCTTAAGTATTTGAAATTAAATACATAAGTTTAACATGACCTTTAATATATATCTGATTGTCTTAAATTGTTTCAAATGGCCTAGCCCAAGAACAGAATAGTATGTTGTGATGATCATAAAACTTCTTAACCAAAATCTGACTTGTAAGCGTTAATAAGTGATTTACTTTGTCCTCTAGTCTGTCTCCTGCTGGCTAAAGCTTGCACAGACTTTTATAGCTAACAGGAGTATTGTTACTGGCTGTGTGGGTTTGAGGCGAGCCCTCTAAAAACCTGTACTGAGATGAGGCTACATTTTAAAATTTTTGGCTAGACAGAAAGACTAGGATCTGGTTGCCACTTTCTTCATCCAATTGAGTAACTTGCTGATCGTTTCTTACAGTAAGATTGTGCTTCCTCTCACTGGGGAGCCTATAAGTCTTTAACTTTCAGTTCAGGTTTATTTTCACAGTCAGGTGAATTTTCACCAATGTCCTGAGACCTTTGGAAGTTTCTTTTTGGGTTCTTTTTTCCCAGTATCCTAGTGCATGTTGGTAACCATTTTCTATAGGCCAATCTATTTTACTGCTTCGTGCCTGATTAGAAGGATTTTTTTAAAAGTCTTTTGTATAGTTTTTACTCCCTTATCTGATCTTTATCACCTTGTTACGATGATAATGAATTTTGACTATATCCCCCCCCCCACGGAAATAGACAAATCATCCTGAATTCGTATTTATTGTTTGTTTTGTGAAGTACAGTCACATTTTGGAGGGGACTTGCACAAATGAGTCTAAAATTGTTCTGAAATAGGTTAAAAGCCAGTTATTATTATTTTTTGATAATTTATTTTTATGTGCATTGGTGTTTTACCTGCATGTATGTCTATCTGAGGGTGTCAGATCTTGGAGTTACAGACAGTTGTGAGCTATCATGTGGGTGCTAGGAATTAAACCTGGGTCCATTGGAAGAATAGCCCATGATCTTAACCACTGAGCCATCTCTCCATCCCCCAGTCATTATTTTTAAAAAGAAAATAAAGATGAACTTTTAATTTTAGTATACTAAAAGTATAAGAGTTTCCAAGACAGAGCAGTACTAGTTAAAGAATCTTTCAAGTACTTGATTAATGTAACATGGCTTTTAGCATGGACCATAAGTATATAAGGTCTGCTATGGTCTATGACAAATCAGCAGGGAAAGGAAGCTTATTCAGTAATTGGTACTGGGGAACAAACAAGTTAGATCCTATTCTCAGACCTTAGACCTTAGAGCATATTAAGTTCAATTTAGGTTAGAGTTAAAAGTGAATATCTATAAAAGACTGACAGTGTGATTTCTTCTATATGGTCTGTTTGCAAAGGGCTTTCTAGGCACAAAGGATATGAGAAAAAAAACAAAACAAAACAACAAAGTTTGACTGCATCAATACACAGGCTTTTGACCTGAATTATTTGATGTGGGATTATTTCTAAAATAGGGAAAATTTATATTTACAACTATTTACTTAAATGAGTTAAGGAAAATTTATCAATCAATTCTTCTTGACAAGGAAATTTTTTTAAATTTGTGTAATTGACAACTATTTTTGCTATTTTAAAAATGTTTATCTTTGTTATTTTAGTTTGACCTGGGCCTTCTTTTCAATATTAACAGAAATCATGCAGTGACACCTGCTAAGACTTGTTGGTAGCCATGTCGGAGCCCCACAGGGTCCAGTTCACCTCTCTCCCAGGTTCTTTGAATCCTGCATTTTTGAAGAAGTCCAGGAAAGAGGAAGTTGGAGGAACAGAACAGCATCAAGACTGTGAGCCAGCTGCAGCTGCTGTTCGGATTACACTCACCCTCTTTGAACCAGATCATAAACGCTGCCCAGAGTTCTTCTACCCAGAGTTGGTGAAGAACATCCGAGGGAAGGTGAAAGGCCTTCATCCTGGAGACAAGGTACATGCCAGTAGATCCAGAGTTGCTCTGCAGACCTAACATGAAGATACCAAAATGTTCACATGGGCCTTTCTTTATATCAGAGAGGTGAGGCTAGAGAGGCCTGGGCTTCCCCAAGATTACCACTGATCTAGAGCAAAAACTGGGTGGGAAGAGAATTCTTTTAAGAATCCTTCTCTTGACTTATGCATATCTCTTCTGACAAGTAGCCCAGTACTATCTTGAGTAGTTTCTGTTTCTGAATGCATAAAAATCTGCTTCTGTGTTTTTCTTTTTCTTTCTTTTTTCCTCTTTCTTTCTTTCTTTCTTTCTTCCTTTCTTTCTTTCTTTTTCTTTTTTTTTTTCCCCCGAGACAGGGTTTCTCTGTGTAGCTTTTGGAGCCTAATCTGGCATTCACTTTGTAGACCAAGCTGGCCTCAAACTCACAGAGATCCATCTGCCTCTGCCTCCCGAGTTCTGGGATTAAAGGAGTCTGCCACCACTGCTCCGCCTAAACTCTTAATACTTTTTTTTTTTTTTTTTTTTTTTTTGCCATAATTGACTTTGTAGGCTTCAAGCTGTTTGGAAATAAGTTTGGTTCCTTAAAAATTATTTGTAACTGATCTTTTTCTTTTTTTTTTTTTTAAAGTTGTATTTATTGTGTATACAGTGCTGCATGTATACCTGCACAGCAGAAGAGGGTTGTTTCTTTTTTTTTTAAATTTTTAACTTTTTTTTTTGCTATGGGGAGGGGATGTGGAGTTTGTGTGTGAGAGAGAGAGAGACACCCAGAGAGAAAACATAACACTTGTGGGAGTTAGAACTCTCCTTCCATTATGTAAGACCTGGGAATGAAACTCAGGGTATCATACTTGGTAGGAAATGCCAAGAGTCTCATGTTGCCTAGGCTGACTTAGGCTCACCAGCCTTGATGTATTTCTTTTCTTGGCACATTTATTTTATTTTTTTTTTTAGTATGGAACTTCCAAACATGTGTGCTTTCAAATAAGCATGGAAGTAGAGAGTACAGTATAAGCCACAGCCATGTACCTGTTACCCATCTTCAACTGTTACAGTGTTGCCTATTCATTAACTTCTTTTGTTTCTTTCTTTTCCTTTCTTCCTTCCTTCCTTCCTTCCTTCCTTCCTTCCTTCCTTCCCCTTTCTTTTCTTTTTTTTTTGTTTTGTTTTGTTTTTGTTTTTTGTTTTTGTTTTTTTTTTTTTTTTGAGATAGGATTTCTTTGTGTGACCTTGGCTTTCCTGGAACTAGCTCTGTAGTCCAGGCTGGCCTTGAACTCACAGAGATCCATCCACCTGCCTCTGCCATTACCTGGCTCATTAACATTTTTTAAAGTGTGTGTGTTTTTATATGGTTTCAAACAGTGTCTTTGTTTGCTTTCTATTGTTGTGATAGACACACAGAAGCAACTTGAGGAGGAGGAAAGGATTATTTCAGTTTACAGCTGACACTACAGGGAAGTTAAGGCAACAGAAACAGGAGTTATGGAAGAATACCATTTATTGGCTTGTTTCTTTTGTCTTGCTTAGTTTCCTTTCTTATACAACCTAGGGCTACCTGCCAGGGGTGTCACCACCCAGAACTGACTATTCCCACATCAGTCATTAATCAAGAAAATACCCCCCTCCCCCCCACTTGCCTACAGGTCAATCTGATGGACACTCTCTGTTGAAGTCTCTCTTCCAAGATCACTCTAGCTTGTGTCAAGCTGACAGAAAAATCAAGTAGCATATAGTCTTACTTTATAACCCAGGATGACTTTGAATTTAAGATTCTCCTGTGGCAGACTCCTAAATGGTGGGATTGCATGCTTATACCACTGTATCCCAACTAAAATAATCTAAATACAATTTTTAGTTGAGTCATACATACAGGAAGAATACATATGATAAAGTTTGTGGATTTTCACAAACTCAGCACAAGCCATGCAACCTATACACGATTCACAAAATACAACATTTAGCAGGATACTAAAAGCGCTTCTGCTTGCCTCAAAGAACACGGTGCGCCTTCCTTACAGACTACCACTGTTAATCAAGACCAGTTTTGCATATCTTTGTATTTTTGTATGTGGAATTATATATCATGAGTAGAGCTAGACGAAGAGCATTTTAAGCATTTACTGTATATTAGTTACTGTGTTAGGTTAGGAGTAGAAGGTGAGTAGGATCATACTTGTGGCATTTTGTTCTCTAGAGTGGTTTTTACTAGAACAAGGATGAGGCTAGCACCTGGCTCACAGTGTTTGAGGGTGGAGTGAGATCATATCAGTAAAGTCTCTAGCATAGTGTCTTAGTGCCAAGTACTCATTTAGTCTGACTCATTTTAGGGGTGTTTGGAGGAACCATGTCTAGTTAGAAGAATTCCCTACTTTTCTTTCTTTCTTTTTTTTTTTTTTTTTTTTTTTTTTTTTTGGGTTTTCGAGACAGGGTTTCCCTGTGGCTTTGGAGGCTGTCCTGGTACTAGGTCTTGTAGACCAGGCTGGTCTCAAACTCACAGAGATCCACCTGCCTCTGCCTCCCAAGTGCTGGGATTAAAGGCGTGCGCCACCAACGCCCGGCCTACCCACTTTTCTTAAATAAAAATGTATAGAGTTTTTTTGTTTTTTTTTTTTTGTTTGTTTGTTTGTTTGTTTTTGTTTGTTTTTTTGTTTTTTTTTTTTTTTTTGAGGCAGGGTCTCATGTATCCCAGGCTGGCTTCTCAATTTACCATATAGCAAGATGCCCTTGAATTCCTGAACCACCTTCTTCCTTCCACCTTCTGGGTGCTGAGATTAAGCACATGCCACCACACCAAAAAATGTGATTTATTATTCTTAAAGTTACGTTTTTCCTATACATACGTGCGTGCGTGCGTGTACACTACCTGTGTACCTGGTACCCATAGAAACAAGAAGAAGGTATCAGATCTCCTGGAACTGGTGAGCCACCATGTGGGTGCTGGGAATTGAACCCAGGTCCTCTGCAAGAGCAACCAGCACTTTCAGCCACTCAGCCATTTCTCCAGCTCCATTATTTGCTTTTATGTATAAATGTTTGGTCTACATGTGTCTGTACCCTGTGTGTTGCATGTGGAAGCTAGAAGAGGGAGTTGGATCCTTTGGAGCTAGAGTTGTAGAGGATTGTGTACTGCTATGTAGGTGCTGGGAAAGGGACCCCAGGTCCTCTGCAGATACTCTTACTTGCTGAGCCATCTCTCCAGCCCAAACTGTTTGTTGTCTTGATTGATAACTTACTAATGTCAGTGCATCTATATAAAGGGTCATCATGTTGTATAAGGGCCAGTAATCAGAATGAGAAAAATAATTTAGAATGTTTACAATTCCTTTTTTAATAATGTAGGGATGGTATCCTCTTCCTTAAGAGAAAGAGACATTAGCAGGAGTAGGTTAACATATTTATCCATGGGCTAAATAAATGGGTAGAACAATTGAAATTAGAACTCCAGTGCTCTAACTTACCTTGTTTTTTTTTTTAGGCAGCTGGGGTAGAAAAGCTCTGTATTACGTTCAATATTGCAGGAAAATGCATGGAATATACAGAGAAATTTGGATAAAGTTTCATGGGAATCACTCCTGAACTTCAGTTTTACAACTCCTGAGTCAGTTTTACAAGTCCTGAGTGGATCTGTCTTGTTAAGAGTATAGTCATGCATGAGGTCCTGGGCACCCACTCCCACCCTTAGTATAATCTGATACATTTGTGTGTTGGTTCAGCTAGCACATATTCTTTGCATTGTGAAGTCCTGCTGCATGGTGAAGATCATATAAAGTGGGAAAAAACTGTCCCTGCTTCATGGGAATTTACAGTATTTTAAGAAAATCCTAGCGGAACAGCAGCAAAAGTTAAAATATGATGTTTAAGCCCCAGATGGCTTTGGCTGAGCTTAATAATGTCCAGGATGCTGTGTTCGGACAGAGGTGAACCTTCTGTCCAGAAATAGTAATTGAAATGTGTGAAATTGGCTTTGAGGAGTTCATGTTGAATTGAGTAGAACTCAAAAAAGGGGTTTCTAAAATTATCTTAGCCATTTAAGTTGTGTGTGATCATTGTAGAAATATTAGAAGATACAGACAAGTACCTGTTTTTAAAAACAGCCCATGTTGGTTTGGAGAGATGGCTCAATAGTTAAGGGCTGCTGCTTTTCTATACAGGACCCAGGTTCCATTTCCAGCACCCTCATGGTGGTGGCTCACAACCACTTGTAACTCTAGTTCCTGGGGATCTGATGTCCTCTTCTGCCCTCTTTGGGTACCAGGCATGCACATACTATACATATATACATTCAGGAGCACTTATACATACAGAATCAAGATAAAAATTAAAAAATAAAAATCCATTTAGGAAGGTGGAATAAAGGAATTTTTTTTCTGTTTTGTTTGAGGTTGGAAATTGAGTCTTACTATGTAGTCTGGTCTGGCCTAGAACTCTACTCTTTTGCTTTTGTTTTCCAAGTGCTGAGATTACAGACATGTGCCTTCATGCCTGGCCTAGAGACTTTTGTTTTGGAGCAAACATACATTTTTCAGTATTTTATTTGTACTTTGAAGTTTTAGCATATTTAGTGTAACTTCTATTAATATTAAAATTCCTTGCTCAAGAACATAAATCCAGCTATGGACAGTTTACTTTGATTAAATAATTCATGAGTAAACTTATGGAGTAAAATTACTTTAGAAGACTAGATGAAAATATTTGGAATGATGATTGAGGTTGGCAGATGAGGGTTATGACAGTGGATCCTTGAAGGTATGTTTCCAAGAGTAGGAATTCCTTGAATCAGAGTTTGACTTGAGACATACTATTCAGAATACTTTTTGAGTTCCTTTAAGTTTTTATTTGATTATTTTTACTATTTTATGGTTTTGGTCCCTCTTTCCTTTTCTTCAATGCCTTGAGCTTACTAGGCAAGCACTAGCTGTCCTGAAACTGCCTCTGTAGACCAGGTTGACCTGGAACTCACAGAGATCTGCTTGCCTGTGCCTACCTCGTGCTGGTATTAAAGGCGTGTGCCACTACCGCCTGGCCATTCAGTGGGTTTTTAACCTTTTTTTTTTTTTTTCCTTAATATGAAATGCTTCATGAATTTGTATGTCATCATTGCAGCAGGAGCCATGCTAGTCTTTGCTGTAGCAGTTCGGTTTTAATACATTCCTCCAAAGCACGGTTTTTAACTTTTATTTTAAAAAACAAAACAAAACTTTGTCAGTCAGTGGTGGTGCATCCCGTTAATCCCAACACTTGGGAGGCAGGTAGATCTCTTGAGTTTGAGGTCAACCTGGTCTACATATCGAGTTCCAGGCTACACAACAAAACTGTCTCAAAAAAAAAAAATCAAAAGAAAAAAGCTAAAAACCCTAAAACTTTTTATTTCTATTTAATGTAGATGCTGGGAGTTGAATCCAAGTCATTTAAAGAGAAGTCAGTGCTCTTAATCTCTGAGCTATTTCCCCAGACATCATTTTTAACCTTTTGGAACCTTGACTATTTTAGAAGTTTCACAAAGCCTATAGGTCCCTTAAAATGTTTTCAAGTACCTAAAATAAATTGTGAACATCTCTAGTAAAGGCCCTTTGCTCTGACACACACACACACACACATATATATATATATATATATATATATATATATATACACATATATGTATATCCCCCTGTTTTTCAAAACAGAGTTTCTCTGTGTAACAGCTCTGACTTTCCTGAAACTCACTTTGTACACCAGACTGCCCTTGAACTCACAGAGATCTACCTGCCTCTGCCTCCCAAATGCTGACATTAAAAGCATGTGCCATCACTGCCTGACCACCTCCTCTCTTTAATGTATGGTTCCTGGGTTGAGCCTAAGGTCTTGATCATGCAAGGGCAATAACACTAAACTAAGCTCTCAGCTCTTTTTTAGTTTAAGACAAGTTCTCAGTTCATTGCCTAAGTTAGCCTTGGCCTCACTCTGTAGTCCAGCTGGCTTTGAAATTGAGGTCCTTGTTCTCAGCCTTTCTAGTAGCTAGGATTACAGTGAATACACTTGCTGAAATTGTTTTTTAAACATTAAAACATGGTGTGATGGCAACATGTATTCTATCTTGCTATTTCTGAATAATAGTTTTCATTACCCAGTTTATAAGTGTCGGGTAGTCATTGTAGGTTCTTTAACCAGGACTATAGCTTTCTATATGTGTGTGATATATTTTTTGTGGAATGATCTCTTTTTAGAAAAAAGATGTCTTGGATCCTTTCAACGATGAAGAAAAAGAAAGGCATAAGGTGGAGGCCCTAGCACGGAAATTTGAAGAAAAATATGTAAGATTTCTGTGTTGGGCAAAACAGCAACCCCATTAGTGAGAGCAGTCTCCAGGCATTTTATTTTCATTTAGTGGATTATCATATAGTCAGAAGTAATCTGGAAATAGATGTAGCACTCAGAAGAAATAGAAAACAGCTATTAAACAAATGCATTAAGGTTCAGAATTCTCATGTGGCAGGAGAAATGTGTGAGTTAAATGGGCAAATAAGGCCTTCGAAGATGTGTTTTGTTACAGAGCAAAGTAATTCATTTAATTCTTCTGTCTTAGGCCATTTATGCAGATATAAATGTGCCCTATTTTCAGAGATCTTTAGAGGAGGGGGTTGGGATGTGTGTATGAGAGAGAAAGAGAGAGAGAGGGAGCGAGAGAGAGAGAGAGACAGACGAGACAGGATGAGGGTAGTATGTATGTGTTTTCAGTACTTTACAACCTTTAATCACTAGCAGATGAGACTCAAGGCAGCATTTAAGTCATTGTACTTATAAAAAAGCATGTGACCCCCTTGTTTTCAAATTTCAGGGTGGAAAGAAACGTAGGAAAGACCGAATACAGGATTTAATTGATATGGGGTATGGCTATGATGAATCGGATTCTTTCATCGATAACTCTGAGGCGGTGAGTAGTTAATGAATGTATGATAGTGTTAGTCAGGCAGGGTTGTGACATCTCAGTTTGTCCTCTTAGCACAAACAGCCCTAAATGTGAGAGGAAAGGTTTTCCTGAACACAGGCTTTGTTTTTTTATTCATATAAAAATAACAACTTCTTCTTTGTAAAACGCCTAGTAGCTTGGTATTAGTGATTGAGGAGAGGATGTCTTATCGTGGTGTATGAAGAGTGACAGAAAATCCAGTTGCATCTCTTAAGATGTGCTTTGTATCTTGAACTATTGAACCAAAAATGGGAGCTGATGTTAATGTTTTTCCCCTTTAGTATGATGAACTTGTTCCTGCTTCTTTGACCACAAAGTATGGAGGATTTTACATTAACTCGGGAACCTTACAATTTAGACAAGCTTCAGAATCTGAGGATGACTTCATTAAGGAAAAGAAGAAAAAATCTCCGAAGGTCAGGATATTGTTCCTTTTGTATTTCAGAAATACTTTTTGATGTGACTGTGGGATCAGTAAGTGACTCTAAAATATGCAGTCTCTTACGGTGGCTCAGGTGGAAAGGTAGAATTATCTCAGCATAATGTGAATATTGGGATACTGGTCGGGCCTCAGTCATTTCATCCATGTAGATCAATGAAGTGTACCCCACTTTTACTGGCTTCTTTACTGTGGACTTTGAGAGGACTTGAGTTCTAGGGCTTGTCACCCACTGAAAACTGTTCAGTCTTAGGTTGTTCATAGTGGTAGGTAGTGGTCCACTTACCATTGCCCATTATTTAAAATGAGAGGGCCCACCTACAGCTCATTCCAAATCTGTCTCAGAACAGCCACCATAGTCTCCATTTGGGTGTTTGCAGGAAACACTGTTGATGGGATGCTATAGGTTCATGTCCAGGGACAGTTTTGAGAGAGAAACTTTTTTGTTCCTGAAGGAAAGGAAATGGGTCTGAAGATGTAGGTCACTTGGAGCAAGGCCAGTGCTATCTAGTGTATTTGCTCTCTGACTCAGGGAGTTGTATAACTGTACCTTGTCTTTAATTCTCAGAAGCGGAAGTTGAAAGAAAGTGGTGAAAAGATAAAGAAGAAGAAAAAAGATGACACTTATGACAAGGAGAAGAAATCGAAAAAGTCCAAGTTTTCCAAAGCCGGGTGAGAGGCAGCAGCTTTTCTCTAGAATAAAGTCTGGCCTATGAGGGCATAACACCCAGGAACTGACTTGCCCTCTCCGTCTTCCCCAGCTTCAAAAGAAGCTATAGGGCCTGATTCTCCTTTCACCTCTCCTCTTTCAGGGCTGTTCTGGGCATAGTCAGCCACTCTCATCTGTGTGTCAGATAGCCTGTGTGCCTGTGTTCCTCTGTTAGTGTTGGCAGCTATTTCTGTCACCATATGATTGCTGATGTTCCTTGTTCTCTTAGAACTCCCTTCTGCCCCAGTTCTTCTATGTTCTGCTGTCTTCTTGTGTCTATGGTTGTGATCCCTACTTAGTTAGCCCATCTGCCTTCAAGTTGTTGCTGTTCTTTCTCCAGTTCTCATGCTTTCTTTCTTGAAATACTTTTCTTTTCCTTCCTTCCTTCCTTCCTTCCTTCCTTCCTTCCTTCCTTCCTTCCTTCCTTCCTTTCTTTCTTTCTTTCTTTCTTTCTTTCTTTCTTTCTTTGAGACAGGGTTTCTCTGTAGCTTTGGAGCCTATCTTGGCACTCTGGAGACTAGGTTGCAACCTGAGTAATCAATTTCCCTCTTGCTTGCAGCTTCACAGCCCTCAATGCCAGTAAGGAGAAAAAGAAGAAGAAGTACTCTGGGTCGTTAAGTGTTAGAGAGATGCTAAAGAAATTTCAGAAGGAGAAAGAGGCTCAGAAAAAGAGGGAGGAGGAGCATAAGCCTGTAGCCGTGTCGTCAACAGAAGCTCAAGGCCTGAGGGAATTGGAGGGCACTTCTGACCCCTTGCTCTCACTCTTTGGCTCCACTTCTGACAATGACTTGCTCCAAGCTGCCACTGCCATGGACTCCCTTACAGATTTGGACTTGGAGCAGCTGCTCAGTGAGTCTCCAGAAGGAAGCCCTTTCCAAGATATGGATGATGAAAGTGATTCCCTTGGAGTAGGATTGGATCAGGAATTCAGGCAGCCGTCTTCCTTTCCCGAAGGCCTGCCAACACCCCTGGAGAAGCGTGTTAAGGAGCTGGCTCAGGTATGGGGACACAGTATATGGCTGGGCTTTCCTCCAAGCTGTTTGGGTAGGTTGGTATTAGCTCTACATCTTGTGAAGCTTGATGCCCAAGAAACCCTTAGTGAGTTGGGAAGTGAAAGTGTAAAGTTTCCAAGTTCTTATCTAATCCCGAGGAGGATAGAGTGTAAGCTTTGCACATCAGGCTTCATTTTTTCACCTCTCTTAATTCCTTCACATCTGGAAATTTTACTTTGGGGAGATTTTTTTCTCTTGTTCTGTTTTCTGTTAGTTTCTTTCCCACAACTCACCTTTGCTTTTGCGGTTGACCTGGCAGCTGGCAGCTGACGTAGAGTGTTATCTTTTTCCAAAGATTTTGAAAATTTACTGGTTTGTAAACACATGCATAAACACAGCACATGCTACTGGGTTTTACTTGCTCCCTTGTGTTGGGTGTCATCAGGTGTTACCTACATGGTGACACATGGGAGCTTAACATTATGAGCACTGTCCCTGTCCCAAACGACAGCAAGCAGTCTTTAGCATGGGATAGCTGTACTTCTGTTTTCCTTCAGTTGAGTTGATTCCTAAGTACTAACAACTATTAATTCAGTAATTTACTATTAGCTGTAATCTAACTGTGGATCATTAGTTTTGATACCATTGCCTTTGATTAAAACATTTCCCTGTTGGCACTATGATTTGAAATGTAGTTCTAGGAGCATTTGTGCTCAGACAGCTGTATATTTTGAACTAGTGATTCTTATAGAATTTTCAGATTGTAAATAATATTTCATGTTTTAGGACAGTGAAATTGCCAGCTTCATCTAGAATGTTTATCTCACTTAAAGAAGATATTTAAATACAATATACAAAGCAAATAAAATATCTTATTTACATCTGTGGCTCCTCTGTGTTAGCCCATGTGTAGTATTGGACATAAGTGTTCTTCTTGAATGTAATGCTTTAATGAATTGTTCCATGTCAGGGACTCATAGTATATCTTACTGTAGGGAGAGCAGTTGATTCTGCACTTGGCATGTTTGAATATACTGTCTGTTGCTCAGAATTAATGTTTAAAAAACTGCTTCATGTTCATTTCAATGCTTTAATTTGTAAGCTCCTTCCTTCCTTCCTTCCTTCCTTCCTTCCTTCCTTCCTTCCTTCGGTCTTTCAAAGTCTTGTTAACTAAATGAAAAGAACTAGGCGATAGTAGACCATTGCTAATTTCCAGAAAAGTCAAAATAAAATTCTTGGGTATGTCCTCATTCGCATAGTAGATTGTGATCAGAGTAGTAACATGCTATTTCACATTTTGGGGGGAAAGGGTTTAGTGAAAATGAAGTGCTCCAGCCTTGAAACAGTGTTGGACTGTGGTACAAGAAAGCCTCTCTGGATAAACATGCTATCTGGCAAGTTGTTTCTCCTAAATAATGACTCCTGGGCATTATAGATTTTGCTGTACCCGGAGCCCTTCATATGTGTGCATGGATATCTGGATAACTGGTCCTTTTTGACATTTTGCTGGGAAAGGTAGTTTTTCCAAAGAAGAATATATTTGGACATAGACCATCACATAGAATTCCAAAAGCCACATGTAGATATTTGTATTCTTTTGTTTGTTTGTTTCTCTTTAGCTTTAGAGCCTGTCCTGGAACTTGGTGTGTAGACCATGTTGGCCTCGAATTCACTGAGATCTGCCTATCTCTGTCTCCCAAGTGCTGGGACTAAAGGTGTGCGCCATCACTGCCTGGTTGATATTTGTATTCTTAATGAAGAGTCCAATACTGGATCTTGAAATGAACATGGCATTTTAAAGATTAAATTAGATAGCTAGGCTGATGGTACTCACCTATAAGCCCTATAAGCAGGAGAATATGTTGTTCAAGGTCATTCTTGGCAACAAAGGAAGTTCAAGATTAGCCTGAGCTTCACGAGACCCTGTCTTGACCTCAAAACTAAACTTGGTATGCATAATTGTTGGTAGCAGTTTAAGTATTTCTTGCTTTATTTTTTATCTTTCCTAATTTCATTTTCCTCTCTTTTTAAAAATAAGATTAGATTTTAAATCTTGACTTTAGAAGAGATACATGTCCATTTCTATTGCTTAAGTTAGAAAAGGAATACTAAAACCTGTGCTTAGTCACATATTATTCCTGAGTAGGCTGGCTAAATGGCTCTTTTCTGATCTTGTCAGAGCTCACACTTGTGACTGCATTCAGCCAGCACATTAACCTAGTCAGACCTCCCTATTAAGGCCTACTGTAGATCATGGTTGTCTCACTGAGTTACTCAACCTCCTCTCAGATTTGGAATCCTGCTTTAGACTCCAGAGCAACTGGGATTATGGGTGTGTAGCACCAAGCCCAACTTTAGTTGGTCTTTAATTTGGATTTATTTTAAAGTGTAGCACCCAAGTGATCTATTATAAGACCAAATCCTCCAAAATATAGCCTATGCAGTTAAAAGGCTTCAGAAAGAAACTTTTAAAAATGTTGTACAGGCAGAAAGCTTTTAAAGTACTGGAGAAATGGCTTAATGGCTAAATAAATTTATAACCTGGTGTGGTACTGCATGCCCTTATAATTGCAGTTCTTGGAGTAAAGGATGGAGAATCAAGAGTTCAAGGCTAGGAGCCAAAGGCTCAGTGGTTAAGGCTACTAGTTGCACAACCGTGAGGACCTGAGTTTTGGATTCTAGCACTTGCATAACAAAACTACTAAGTGTGGTCTAGCATGTGCTTGTAACCTTGGTGCTCTTGGGGTGGAGTGGAACAGAAGGATCAGTGGGGTTTGCTGGCTAAAAGCCTAGCCAAAATGACTAATTCAGAGAGAGACCTTACCTCAAAGGAATAAAGTAGAGAGTAATTGAGAAAGACACTTGACATGCTCCTCTGGTGTTTGTGTGTGCACACATGTATACACATACCACACAGATAAAAACTGTGCACATGAGTGCACAAAGTTCAAGTTTACCCTTGACTTAATAAAATCCTGTCTCAGAAAAGGAAAATTTATTTGTAAAGTTAACCGTTGATGGGTCTGGTGAACAATATAACATTTGAATATCTGTTTAAGGAATTAGATTGAATTGATTAAGGATACTTCTGGATCTCAGAACTAGTAGTATAAGTTTAAGCAAAAGATAACTTGACCTAAATTAATTAATTAAAAAAAATAACTCCGCTAATAAGGTAGTGGAATGCTTGCAATATAAGCATTAGAACTTGAGGGTTTTTTTTTTTTTTCAGAGTTTTTATTTGAATTAGAAACAGGATTGTTTTACATGACAATCCCAGTTCCCTCTCCCTCCCCTCCTCCCCTACCACCCCTCTCCCCCAATAAAACCCTACCTATCACATATCCCTTCTGCTCCCCCTGGATGGTGAGGCCTTCCATAGGATGTCATCAGCGTCTATCTTATCCTTTGGGATAGGGCCTAGGCCCACCTCCCTGTGTCTTGGCTCAGGGAGTATCTATGTGGAATGGGCTCCCGAAGTCCGCACCTATGCTAGGGATAAGGACTGAACTACTACAGGAGGTCCCGTAGATTTCTGAGGTTTCCTCATTGAAACCCATGTTCCTGGGGTCTGGATCAGTTCCATGCTGGTATCCCAGCTATCAGTCCGGGGAGCAAGAGTTCCCCAATGTTCAGTTCAGCTGTTTTTCTGTGGGTTTCAACTGGTCTGGACCCCTTTGCTCTTCACTCATTCTTCTCTGCATCTGGATTCCAGTTCAGTTCAGTGATTAGTTATGGGTGTCTGCTTCTACTTTCACCAGCTGCTGGATGAGGGCTATCGGGTGGCATATAAGTGAGTCAGAGAACTTGAGTTTTGATTCTCTAGAATCTTTGAAGAGTAAGCCATGGCTTCTAAGAACAGTTGAGGTGGTCTGCTAACCAATATTTGAACCAGTACAAACACAAGCAGCCACCCTAATGGGAACACACACGCTCACGTGCATACAGGATTCAGTTTTATTTTCTTTCAGTATTAACTGAGGCTTTAGCTCAGTGGTATAGGGTTTGAATAGCATGCATGAGGCCCTGTATTCTATCCCCCATAATGCAAAGGGGGAGAGGAGCAAACCCAACCCAAATGTATAAACAAAAAACCTGAATACCAAATTAATAGAAGCCCACTGCCCTAGAAAAGCACCAAGAAAGAAGTCTGAATGCTTTTGAAAATATAAGAGCCAGGCGGTAGTGGCGCACGACTTTAATCCCAGTGCTCGGGAGGCAGAGGCAGGTGGATCTCTATGAGTTCGAGACTAGCCTGGTTTACAAGAGCTAGTTCCAGGACAGCCTCCAAAGCCACAGAGAAACCCTGTCCCGAAAAACCAAAATAAACAAATAAATAAATGTAAATAAAAAAGTAAAGTATAAGAAAATGTACATGTCCTTAGCCATGCATAGTAGCTTCTGTTTATAATCCTAGCACCCACAAGGGTGAATGACATTCTGGGTAGAATTCTGATGGGCAGGGTGTAAAGGACCTAGTGGAATGGTCAGAGGGACCCAGAAACTGCAATTAGAGGAAGGTAGAAGAGTTAAGATTTATATATCTATTCCACAGAGTCACCTTATTGTCTTCAATTTATAGAAAGTCTGATTGCAGAAACTCTGTTTTGCCTTAGTGTGTCAAGTCAGCATTTCTTTTGTTCTCTCAAAATAACACATGGTGATTTTAATTCACAAAAAGGGTTGAGAACCACTAACTTAAACAAAAGAAATGCTGACTTGACACACTAAGGTTAGTGTGATTAAATTAGTGGTTCTCAACCCTCTTTGTAAATTAAAATCACCATTTGTTATTTTGAGAGAACTGATGTTTGGGCCACTTCTCAAGAGTATACATTCCTCAGACTCAACTCCCAAGATTGTGGTTATTGGTCTGCGGTAGGGAAACCTGCCTAGGTAACTTCCATGTGCAGCCAAGAGTGAGAACCACCAGATTAATCATTGTTCTCATCAGTTAAGGGATCTCTAGGCTTGTTCCCAAGGTGTCATCTTCAGTATAATGTATTAATTCAGGAGTCTGGTTGTGAGATATCATAAGTATATTACAGATTTTCAAAGTATGTCCTCAAGTACTGAAGCTACATAGTAATTTCTTTTTTAGTAGGAGGTGTCTCTTTGGGTACTAGTTATGGCTGGAGTGCACAATATTTTTATTACTTTGCATAATTATTTGATTCATAAAAGCCTTTAAATCTGGTTTTCAACTTGTGGGTTGCGACCACTTAGGGGTCACCTAAGACCATCAGAAGGCACAGGTATTTACATTATACATCATAACAGTAACAAAATTATAATTATGAAGTAGTAACAAAAATAATTTTATGGTTGGGGGTCACCACAACATGAGAAACTGTATTGATGGGTCACAGTGGTTGAGAACCACTGCTTTAAATCTTGTAGGTTTATTTAAGGTCTTAGTTACTTTTCTACTATTGACAGAATAGAAATCCGAGTTTACAGTGTAGTTGGTAAAAGTCTGGACACAGAAGCTGGATTGCTGGTTGAGTTGACTTCTTACCAGATACCTCAAGATACCTGCTTTCTTTTCCATGATTAGTATTGTAAGTCCCAAGAACTTGCCCACAAAGCTGTAATAGCTTTGGAATGACCTTAATCTGGGAATGAGTTATAGTCAGGAAGATGGCAGGTGCTCTTTGGGAGCAGTGATTCTGTGCCTGCTAGTGAGTGTGAGGGATGCATGAGGAAAGGGCACTAATACTTGTTACTGTCTCCTGTGAATCAGGCTGCCAGAGCTGCTGAGGGAGAGAGCAAACAGAAGTTCTTCACTCAAGATATTAATGGCATCCTACTAGAGTGAGTATTTGTTGTCTCTGTTTTCCTATTTAGAATGAAACAGGGACACTACATCCCTGTCACCATAAATGATAGGCCTAACTAATCTTCAGCCACAGACATTATTAAAATGCTATAATATATGTATTGTCATGGCCTGTTGGAAGAGGATTACTTGGCAAGTATGAGATGAAAAGAGAGAATCCAGACAAATGAGTGAGAGCCTGGTAACCTCAGGCTGCATTGGCCTCTCAGGGTTCATCCTTATTTTTTTACTTGTGTTTCTATTACGTTTCATCCCATCATGCTCTGCCCAGGGGCCCAAACATCCGATGTACTTTGCTGTGTGAACTGGATTAAAAAGGACAACAGCAAGTATACAAATCTAAATCAAATCTCTATGTCAGGCCAACAGAGACTTTTGCCTATGTAAGAACAGTTGCCAAGACTTGAGAATGTTCCCACAAATGGTCTCCACTGAATCGGTTGTGGAAGCATAGGGTCTCAAAGAGCACCTGAGAGTTTTGTGTTCACAAAGAATCTACTTGAATGTGCCACATACAGAAAGCTCAGGCTTTTCCTGTTTGTCCATATGGAGAAACTAGAGGGGTGAGGATTTCCCTGATCTCCTGATCATGGGTAGAGCTAGTAACTGAAAAATCAAAACTTACTTAGCAACCTTTGCTTGTGTGTGTGGAGAGGGTTGGAGAGATGTTTAATGGATAGGATAACTTACCATTGTTCTCGCAAAGGACCTGGGTTTATTTCCCAGCATCCACATGGTAGGTCACAATTGTCTTTAACAACTGGCTCCTTAATTCCAGGTTCAGGAGATCCGTGGGTACCAGGCATGCACATGATAAACAATATATACATGCAGGCAAAGTATCCTGCATAAAAGAAAAATCTTCAAAATATTACTGGAAAATATTTCCTGATAATTCCAGGCAATTTATTACTTTCACTTTTAAAGCTTTTATGTTTTCTTTGTTTATGAAATTTAATGCTCGTACCTTTTTATCTTTGGCTTTGTTCTCTCTATTTCTTTCTTTCTTTTTTTTTTTTTTTTTTCCCAAGATAGGGTTTCTCTATGTAGCCTTGGAACTCACTCTGTAGAACAAGACTGGTCTTGAATTCACAGAGCTCCACCTGCCTCTGCCTCTCGAGTGCTGAGATTAAAGGCACATGCCACCACTGCCTAGCTCTTGGCTGTTTTCTTTGACTTGGTCTTGTCCTTGACCTGCTTTTCCTAGCCAAGTTTATTAAGTTTGAGTTATGTTGCTGCTTGAGATTTTGTTGCTGGGTTCACATGGTTACATTGTGTGACCATCAAGATAATGTTCAGACTGCTTTTGGTGCCTAGCTTTCTTCTCCAGCCTGCAACATAAGGAAGAGGAAACTTGCTGCAAGCTGCAGGCCATTAATGACTGTGTTATGTTCTTTAGCATAGAGGTGCAAACCCGGGAGCTGACTAGCCAAATCCGTTCTGGGGTGTTTGCTTATTTGGCTTCATTCCTGCCCTGCAGCAAGGATGCTCTAGTCAAGCGTGCTCGGAAACTTCACCTCTATGAACAGGTGGGTGGCAGAGTCTGCTTGTTGCACTGTCTCCTTTTGATAGCCCATTGTGGGTCCTCATTGTGAGAGTGGCACATGAGCCAAATCTGTTTTGTGTCCTTTCTTTGTAGGGTGGGCGCCTAAAGGAACCACTCCAGAAGCTCAAGGATGCCATTGGTCGGGCCATGCCTGAGCAAGTGGCCAAGTACCAGGATGAATGCCAAGCACATACACAAGCAAAGGTTGCTAAGTAAGTGTGTCCTATCTCACTTGGGTGAGATCTTCCTATATCTCTTCTACCCCCTCTTAAAATTACTTGTATGTGTGTGTGTGAGTCTGTGTATGGAAATGTACATGTACCTGCAGCATCCAGAAGAGAGTGTCAGATACCCTGGAGCTGTAGTTACAGGTGGTTGTGAACTGGGGTTCTGGGAACTGAATTTGGTTCCTCTGCAAGAACAGTACACACTCCTAACCACTGAGCTATCTCTCTGGGTCCCTGTCTCTTCTTTTTACACTTCTCAGTATTTACTTACATTTCCAACACAATTTTAGGCTTTTCAGCACTTTCTGATCTTAAATCAAGGAGACTATTGTAGAAGGGAGAAAGGGGAAGCTGGTGGGCAGGAGAACCTCAGGGTTCCTTCTGTTTCCTCTGTAGGATGCTGGAAGAAGAGAAGGACAAGGAGCAGAGAGAACGGATTTGTTCTGATGAGGAAGAAGATGAAGAAAAGGGGGGCCGGAGGATAATGGGACCCCGGAAGAAATTCCAGTGGAATGATGAAATCAGGTGTGCACAAACTGGGACCTTGCGTCATTGGAGGGTTTGTGAGACCAGTATCTGAGCCTGTCCCCATATTGCTAATGAAGGTTAGGATTAATTACTTTCATGGGTTGCTGAAAGCACACAGTGGCAACTGTGAAACAGCATTTGGGGTGGTGGGAGTTTCTGATCTCTGTCTGCTTCTCAGGGAGCTTTTGTGCCAGGTGGTGAAGATCAAACTGGAGAGCCGTGATCTGGAGAGGAACAGCAAGGCCCAGGCCTGGGAGGACTGTGTGAAAGCTTTTTTGGATGCTGAGGTCAAGCCTCTTTGGCCCAAAGGCTGGATGCAGGCCAGGTGAGGCCCTTGTGGTGTGAGGCAGGTTAGTCTGGGTTGACAGTGATCCCTTCCCTCAGAAGTCACTGTCTTACTGGTTCAATTCTGATGTCTCTTAGAGTACCAAGGGACATGCTGGGATATATAAAGGAGTCTTCTTAACCTAGAAGAGAGATCTTACTTGTAGAATTTAGTCCTTGCCCCACTTTAGTGGTAGGATTGACTACATTCTTGTTTCTCTACATTATAGACTTTGTTGTTTTGATGCAATGACTGTACCAGAGGCTGAGAGATAGAAGTCATCTTGGGGACTTCCTTATGGTTCCAGAAAGTTTCACAAGGAGCTGACTCCATGCTGGAGTCTAGTGTTGGGCTTCTGTCCCAGAAGCTCCTTCACATGTGTTGCCACCCATGAATGGAGCATGTCTGCCTTATGGAGGGCGATGGGGGTTAGATAAAGATAGTGATTCATCAGTGATTTGGACAGATGACAGAAACTTGGGAGTTATTCTTTCCTTGTAGGTTAGGTTATATAAAGATAATTTTTGTTGAGTTTCTCTGGAAAAACAAAAGGGCATGCTATGTGTGCTGCTTCACATTTTGTCCTTGGGTAGGTTTAGAATACTAGTAAGAAAAGCACCACCGCCTTCAGGAATTTGTGGCTCTGAGGTTGCAGCACAGCCATTGACTTTCTTGGTAAAGCCTAGATGTTTGGCTTTAGGTGAGTTAGTGAGGCCATATTAGGCCCCTTAGCTGGACCGTGGCTCTCTAGTCAGCTAGAATAAATGCCACTTAGTACCAGGGCCTCCAGGAAAGCTCTAGAAGTAGAGTTGTGGCATGCTGGGGCAGATATGATACACCAGCCCTTTTTCTTTTAGGACTCTATTTAAAGAGAGTCGGCGAGGCCATGGACATCTGACATCACTCCTGTAAGTACTTCAGAATTTTATTTCTTGGGATACTGCTATTTTAATCTCCTTTTGTGGATCTTCTTTGAACCATTTCTGTGTTCATTTCTTTGAACAGGGCCAAGAAGAAAGTAATAGCTCCCTCAAAAATCAAGGTGAAGGTGAGTCAGCTTGTTCTGGCCATATGCCAACTCTTCTGAAGCCATGCTCAGGAAATCTCTTGAGTGATCATGGCACCTTGGTAAGCTTCATTGAGAATAGTTATTCAGATGGCATCCTTGAACAAGACAGATAATCTGAGCTGAGCCACTTAACCCTTTCTAGCATCAGTTTTTCACAGCAGTACTCAGCCAGTCCAGTTCCTATGGGACTCAATAGAATTTGAAGCAGCTCCGAAGGAGTTCAATACAGGGTCACTGTAAATGTGAAAGCTCAACAGTGTAGTAGACCTCTTGGGGAGGAAGTATACTCCTGTGGGCCAGTTAGTTTGTAGCAGTAGCAGGAAGGAGAAGTGTCTCTGTTAGCTAGCCGGGAGAACCACAGAGAACTACAATGGATGGAGCATAGAAATGTGAAAAACATCTTAGACATCACAGAAACTTCTCAGTGGGGAACATTGGTACTTGCTAGACTTTTACCAGTTGAGGCTTGGGGTTCTCTTAGCCCTGCTTAAAGAGGTTGTTAGGACAGATGTTTACATTGTTTATTCCTGAGTATCTGGAAGATTCCTACAATATGTGAGAATTGTGTTAAGTACTTGGATGCAGGAACAATGACTCCCATGAGAATGGCTGGGGAGTCAGATATTGAGAAAAAGTAAGTTAATTGAAAGTAATTCTCATCAGTCTAATTTCAGCCAGGAACAACATTTCAAAATATTGTGAATATCTGCAGAGTATCTTGGTTAGCTTTCTATTGTTGTGATAAAATACCATGACTAAAAGCAACTTTGGGAGGAAAAGGTTTATTTTGCCTTAACAACTTACACTCCATCATCCAGAGAAGTTAGGGTAAGAGCTCAAGGAGGCAGGAGCCTGGAGACAAGAACTGATACAGTGGCCATGGTGGAGTGCTGCTTACTGCTTTTTTATAGCACTCAGGACCACCAGCACAGGAATGGCACTGTCGACAGTGATCTGGGCCCTCCTGTATCAATCATTTATCAAAAAATGCACCACAAGCCAGTCTTGTGTGGGTATTTTTTTTTTCAACTGAGATTACCTCTTCCAAAATGACTCTAGCTTGTATTAGATAGTTGGTATAAAACTAGCCAAACAATATCTGAGCAAATCTTGTACTATTTTAGAAACTAAAAGAAGAAAAGTTTTACTGTGGGCTTGTGTATATTTTGTGACAAAGCATGTTGACCTAAAACCAACCTCCACCAGCTAGATGCATGCCAGATAGTACTACAAGGCAAGGCAGACATGGTACCTACTCTCATCCATCACTTGTCTTATAATTACCCACTAAGCTTGAGTTCACTTGTTGACATCTTCATAACAGGCCACTATTGGTATCTTTGAGTACTTCTAACTGTGATCATTTCTGCTTTCCTTTAGGAATCATCAGCTAAGCCTGATAAAAAAGTTTCCATCTCATCAGGACAGCTTGGTGGTCCTACTACTTTGCTCTCAGAACATCAGGGTGGAAGCCTGAATATTGGAGCAACCAATAGGGAGCTTTCATCCCAGGCAACTTGTGGCCTCAGTGACCCTGTTCCTGTCACCCTGGAGGACTCACTGGATGAAGACTTGGTCCGGAATCCAGCCTCTTCTGTGGAAACTGTGTCTAAAGAGCTGGCTGTATTGAATAGCAGAGCAGCCAGCAGTTCTGAATTCACACTGCCTGCACCCTCCAAAGCACCAACAGAAAAAGTTGCTGGTGTTTTGTGTACAGAAGAGAAACGGAACTTTGCAAAGCCCAGCTCTTCTGCACCTCCATCTACTAATGCTCTGCAGTCACCTCTTAATTTTCTGGCTGAACAGGCTCTAGCCCTGGGGCAGTCTTCTCAGGAGAAAAAGCCAGAGAGTTCTGGCTACAAAGAGCTGTCCTGCCAAGCTGCCCTCAGCAAGGGTATATCTGAATTGCACCAGTCCAAAGCAAAGCACCACAGTTTGCCACGGACGTCTCATGGACCCCAGGCAGCTACCCCCATGCCTAGCTCCCAAGTCAAAGTCTTTCATGCAGGCACTCAACAGCAGAAAAGCTTCACACCCCCAACCCCCTTTGTCAACAAGCTGCAAGGCCCTAAGGCTGCCTCTCCACAGTGTCATCGTTCCCTCCTGCAGTTGGTAAAGACAGCAGCCAAAGGCCAGGCCTTCCATGCCACTATGCCATCCTCCTCTGGAACTTCACCAGCCTCCAGCAGCAGCTCTCATAAGACTGCAGCCTCATCCTCCACTCCCCTGAGCCATCCAGCAAAGCAGCATCCAGCCAGCTCTGTGGGGCCATCTTATAAGAATAACCCCTTTAGTGGCTCAGTCTCTAAACATGGGGCTTCTTCTAGCAGTCCATCACCTGCAGGAGCCCAAGTGCAGAGCTCTGTTTCTGGGACCTTGCTCCCTAGTGTGCAGTCTCCCTCCGCGGGACAGCCTTCAAGCCGAGCTGCCCCAAGTTCTGCTGTGAAAAAAACACCTGTTTCTCAGAAACTGACCCTGGTGGCCCCACCTGGAGGTCCAAATGGAGATTCTGGTGGTGGGACACAGGGAGTGGCAAAGTTACTGACCTCCTCCCTGAAGCCTCCTGCAGTTAGCAGTGTGACATCATCTACCTCCTTGCCAGTGAGTATCCCAGCATTGCAACCTACCCCAACTGCAGGGCATTTGGGGACAAGGCTGATTGCCTTGCCTTAGTCTACAGATGTGGTCTGAAACAGTTTTGGGGGGGTGGGTGGGTGGGTTGAGCAGGCAGTGAGATTAGACACTGGAGAGAGTACTGGATTTCCTGTTTAGTCTCACTTTTACTGGTGGTTGGAGGACCAGTATAACCTGAATGTCTTCTTAGCAGGGGAACTGGAAGGGAAAACAGAAGGGAGTATCTCTTGCTATTGGGTCCCTGGAGAGATTGAGTCTATAAGAAATAGAGTGAGTGCCAGAACCTGCCTCTGCCCTCTGAATCAAAGATAGAAGTACCTTCAGCTATTGGGTGGCAGTTAGGAAGTGTTTATGCCTCAGCACAAACTGGTAGTGTCTTCTGGTTGCAGTTCTCTGATAGGCTTGAAAGAACTCTGTAGGTCAAAGGTATTTTGACAGAACCCATCAGGGAAGATGTGTTTTGAAAGTTTGGATTGCCATGTAAAAGCTAGGTGTGGTGTGTGTGTGTGTGTGTGTGTGTGTGTGTGTGTGTGTGTATGTGTAAACTTAAACTAGAAATCTGGCCAGGATAGTGTTGTACATCTATAATCCCAAAGATAGAAGCAGTGTGTGTGTGTGTGTGTGTGTGTGTGTGTGTGTATGTGTATGTGTAAACTAGAAATCTGGCCAGGATAGTGTTGTACATCTATAATCCCAAAGATAGAAGCAGGAGAATCAGGAGTTCAAAGCCAGTCTTAGTTACATATCTAGTTTGAGACCAGCCTGGATACATCAAACCCTGTCTTAAATTGAAAAGAGGTCTGAGAGTTGGCTCAGCAGTTAAAAGCACATAAACCAGGCCATGGTGACACACACCTTTAATCCCAGCACTTGGGAGGCAGAGTCAGGTGGATCTCTGTTGTTTCGATGCTGATCTGGTCTAAAGAGTGAGTTCCAGGATAGCCAGGGCTACAGAGAAACCCTGTCTTGTAAGACCAAAACAAAACAAAACAAAAAGGTGTAGACAGGACAGTCTAGCAAGGTCTTGATTCTCCCTGCCACCCTGAATAGTGACTGTGCACATTAGTTTTCAGGAGAAAAAAATGGTGTGTGCACACATGTGTTTATATGAGTGGGGGCACATGTGTGCCATGGTAAGTGTGTTGAGTTCAGTCTTCACCTTCTATCTTGTTTGAGACAGGATCTCTTTGTTGTTCACTATTGCATCAGGCTAGCTGGCCCTTGAGTTTATAGGGTGTCTCATCGTATGGGTGCACCAGATTATAGATTCAATGACACCACACCCACTTTTATATGGGGCCTGGGGATTTAAACTCAGGTCTCAGGGCTGAGGCTCTAGCTCAGTGATAAGAGTACTTGTCTAGCATTCTCAAGGACCTATATTCAATCCCTACTACTGCTAGGAAAAAGGGAAACCACTGACTTAATGCTGCCTTAGGCTGGTGCTTTAGCTCAGTTGGTGGATTGCTTGACTAGTGTGTACGAAGCCCTGGATTTGATCCCCAGCACCACACAAACTGGGCATGGTGATGAATACTTGTAACCCTAGCACTGGGAGGTAGAGTCAGTAGAATCAGAAGTTCAAGGTTATCCTCAGCTGTATAATAGACCAGTGTGGGCCTATTATGAGACCCTGTCTCAAAAATAGAACAAGGATTTTCTGTTTCCTGTGAGCCCTTCCTTGGTTTGCAGCCATGCTGAAGATATCTATAAAAACTTATGTTTTTTGATATATATATATATATATATATATATATATATATATATATATCTTTCTCTCTCTCTCTCAATCTCTCAGTCTCTCGCCTTTGCCTCCTTCGTATTAGGATTGAAGGTGTGTGCCGCCATGCCCAGCTGAAAAGGACTTCTTTTAGTTCATTTATGTTTTAACTTTCTGTGGTGTCAGGGTTCATGAATACATACTAGCTAGTCTCATTGAAAGTTTTAGTATGATCTGGTGCAGTTAGATTTCACCAGCCACATTTCTCCATAGTGCTACAGTGACGCTTTCAGTTAACTTAAGAAGCCAATGATTGGTTGGAAGTGTTCACTTTCACATGAACATAAATATATAGGGAACCATTTTCAGTTGGATCTTTTTAAATGAGAAACTTGCCATTTGTCCATGTTTATGAAGGCTTTGGATGGGATTCAGGGCTCCTCTAGATTTTAAATTTGTCATGAAGATAACTTCTGGGGAGGTTTTTTATGTTTTTGTGTGTGTGTGTGTGTGTGTGTGTGTGTGTGTGTGTGTGTGTGTGTGTGTGTGTGTGTGTGTGTGTGTGTGAGTGTTTTGTCTGCATGTCTACCATGTGCATGCTGGGTGCCCACAGAGGTCAGAAGAGGGTGTTGGATCTCTTGGAGCTGTAGTTAAGACCATTGTGAGCCATCATAATAGGCAATGGGAATCAAACCGGGGCCCTAGGGAAGAATAGCTAATTTTTAACAACTCCAACAGCTGGGCAATGGTAGTGCATGCATGCCTTTAATCCCAGCACTTGGGAGGCAGAGGCAGGTAGATAGATCTCTGAGTTCTAGGACAGCCTGGTCTACAGAGCAAGTTCCAAGACAGCCAGGGCTACACAAAGAAACCAGAAAACAGACAAATAAACCAACAAATAAAACCACAAAGGTCTTCACTGAGCTATCCCTGCCCATTTTTGTGTTACATAAATTTATATAATAAATTTAAATTAGTGTATATAAATCTGTTTATATATCTATTAGTTTGTATGTGCATTATGGATATACACATGCTATATATATACACATATATAGTAACCATACATATTTTTTGTTTTTGATTTTTTTTTTTTTTGAAACAGGGTTTCTCTGTGTATCCTTGACTGTCCTGGGACTTACTCTGTAGACCAGGCTAGCCTCAACTCATGGATATCCCCCTGCCTCTGCCTCTCCTGAGTGCTGGGAATAAAGGCGTATGCTACCACTGCAGGGCTCATACATAATATATTACTTCTCTGCTTCATAAAAGAAACATATTTGCTATTTTAGGAATTATCTCTGTGCCCTAGAAGCCCCTAGATGCTGGCTCATAGAGACTTCCCCATTATTCTTTTGAGTGCTGAGTAGTGAGGTTCTTATTGTGTGTGTGTGTTTTCTCTCCAGAAAGGAACCGGAGGGGCAATGCTGCTGTCCAACACTTCTTCCTTAAGCCTGCTGTCTTCATCCTACAAGCCCAGCAACCCCAAGCTTCAGGGGGCTATGAACTCAAACTCACTGGGAATCATAACCTCTGTCCCATTTCCACTTCACGTGCTCTCCTTCAGTTCAGACTCCTCTGCCAAAGCAGGGGTCTCTAAGGATGCCATTGTTACAGGCCCAGCCCCTGGGACCTTCCATCATGGCCTCAGCCACAGTAAGTTCTTGTTTCCTGCCTCTGTTTCTATGTTGTGTGCCATGTTGGATCCTCTATGTGTTTGGTGTAACTGTGGGAGCACCCCTGTCCTGGGAAGCTGCTTAGTGCCCAGTGTTGTTGGTTTGTTCCAGATTGGCCTACAGGTTGCCTGGGGCTCTGAATCTCCCAAGCTGCTTTTCTGTTCTGTCTTCAATGTGTGTGTTTTGTTCTCTCCCCTCCTGTTTTCTCTCAGGTCTTCTGGCTGGCTTGCACTCCAGCCCACCCCACACAGCGCCTCTCCCACATACTGCTGTGTCCACCCATGTCCCACAGAGTCTGCCAGGTAAATGCCAGGTGGGCAGTGTGCCATGAGCCCTGTGGGCCATACCCCTTCACCCTTAGGTGCTTTGCTGCCAGCGCTTTTAGTCATCTCTGCTTCACCCTCACTGTTTTGTATTTTGCTTTGTCTTTTGAGGCTCTGGCTCTTTGGCTTTGGGTTCCAGAATAATATAACCCTGTACTACCAGAGGCTTTTCCTGGTTTCCTTTTTGAATGGCCATAAGGTCTGACTTAGCCTGTATAATAACAGTATATGTTGAGCCTGAACATGAAACAGAGGAGCTCCAACTCTTAATGTGCATTTAAAGAGAAGAAAGGTAATGGTGGCTCTTGTCCAAAGGTTAACCAAGTACTTCAGGGCCTTCATGGTGAAATACTACACACCTGCCAGGCATTGTCAAGTGGCAGATACTCTTTGAAAGGAATAAATATCCACAGAACAGGAAGAGAACATAATACATGACTATGAGAGAGTTAGTATGGACCCAAAAGAGAAGCAGTTTTCAATCTACCCTGGTGTAAACCTTCCTTTAAAACAGATTTGGAAGCACACCAGGAATGAAGCAATCCACCTTGGTGTAAAACCTTCCTTTAAAACAGATTTGGAAGTACACCAGGAATGAAGCCAGTGTCTCCTGACAGAATGGTGCTTCTGGAAGTAGGCAGCTCTAAAAGCTGTATTGCCAGCTTGAGAGCATGAGAATGGGGAATATTTGCCACAGGCAGCCATCTTGTAGTAAGTGGACTGGTCTCACTCTGTCCTGATTCCTGGATTCTTGCATATAGGCACCTCTTGGGATTTTGGCTTAGGGGCCTGATGAGAAACTGATTTTGACCTAGTGTTCTTAGCACTTTAGACCTGTTCTAAACAGAACCCAGGCCTATACTAGGGAGAGGAGGGCTGAGCTTAGGGATTATGGGGATTTGTATAGGGCAGGAGTCAGATGCAGACTCGAGGGCTATGTGTGCCTTTGACTGCTCATGGACAGTCTGGGCTCACAGCTCCTTGTGTGCTTTGTGATCTGCTTGTGTGTTCCTTGAAGCCATGTCTTAAAAGCTGAGAACTCTGTAGTGAATATCAAAGACCTTGTTAGGATGAGGGTGAGTTTGTAGGTTTCTTTGAGGAGCAAAGCCAGTGTCAGTTGTCACTCCTTTCCTCTGAAGAAGCAGTCACATCTGAGGACTTTCTCTGCACTGGTGGCTGCCACTTAAATTAAGTGCAATGTGGGTGACTCCTCAGCTACTGAGAGCCTGTGTGGTGTGAAAGTGAGATGGTGCCACCTTCCACTTGCTTTGGAAATGGCTCTCTTTGAGAGAAACAAAGTAATTGAAGAGTAGAAACAGACTCTGGGTCTGTGGAGTTTTCAGTCAACAGAGGCAGGAGGGAGACTGGATAGAGGGGGGGCAGGGGAATCAAACACTTTTTGTACTATTTTCCTGTTTTTCCCCGTGGTCTTCCAAAGCTATCTGAAGGGTTGGGGGTGTAGTTCAGTGGTCAAGCATTTTCCTATCATATATAAAGCCCCAGGTCTATTACCAGTACCACAGAGAGGAAAAGGAAAAACATCGTAGGCAATCAGAAGAGCAGCCATGCAAAATGGGTTAGCAGGGAGCTGAGACTTGTTTCTGCTCTTCCTTCTTTTCTCCCACATGGACTTGATGCTGTTGCTTTTGCCTTTGTCCCTCTGGTATCTGAGTGCATTTTGATGTTAAGAGAATGAACATTGTCTGGATTCTGTGTGGTCATCAGGCCTTGCAGTGGCCCTTGTCATGTTGCAGAATTTCTGTTCTGTAGACATTGCTCCTCAGCCCCCTGCCTGCACAGTGCTAGTTTGGGGACATTTGCTACTTAACATTCCTGTGAAGTTTGTTTATGCTGTCTAGAGGAGTTTGAGTGCTTAAAGAATGTTCTGTTTTTGCTTATTCTTTTCCAGATACTTCACAGCTTCATGGGAAAGGGCCTGTTGTACCAAGGAAATTGTGACCACTTTGGAGGATGGAATCAAATGAAGTAGGTCTGGGAGGAAGTCTACCATGTAGGTCTCTGATAACAGACATTTGCTGTGCTCTTCCTGTCCACTGCTTTTCTTCTGGAGCAGCAATGAGTTTGAAATGGAGCACTTCTTAGCACTTCTGATGGGCCTTCAACCAAGTGGCAGCTTCTGCTGCTTACGAAGCACTTACTGACCTGGTGCTCTGGGCCTTATGGCTTTGTCGCTGGACGACATCAAGGGGCAGCTCTGGGCTGGGAAGTGTGCCTAGACTGTGTTGGGAAGCACAGTGTGCATGAACTCCTGTGGCAGATCTGTTGCCTACTGGGTTCTAGGTCTGCCCAACTCCTGGCATTTGGTGTGAGTATCTCAGAGCTCCCTACTGGTCAGAACTCCTCCTGGCCACAGTAGAGTCCCTGGATGGTTGTGATTGCATCCCATCCTCAGACTGTGTGCTCAAGAGGACAAGACCCAGGTCAGAGCCACAGGTGGGAGACCTTGAAAAATACTAAGAACACCTAATATGTGCTCTTATAGGGGCCAGTTTCTCCTCAGAACATGACAATGAAGCTCTTATAGAGAAAAAGATCTTTATAGATTCATCAATCGTGGTAGGATTTTTAAAGACACCTATCTTGGGCTGTTTTCGTCATTTCCATTGAATGCATTGGATAGAATGGGACTGCTCTTCACACATCACATTATAGGAAGACTTAATTCCAGTGCCTTTTTGGTGGAGCAGACTTTGACAACTCGAATCTATCCATTCAGCCCCCTGAGTGGATCTGAGATGAAGACCTTTTTTTAAAGCTAGTCTGTATTTAAGACAGTTTTATTTAATTGGGTTTTTATGACTGCACATCATAATCTGTGCCGTCCTGACTTAAAAGTCATCTGAGCCCCCAAATCCCAGGTTCCCATGGAGCTACTTTTTTTTTTTTTTTTTCTTTTTCTTTTTTTTTTTTTTTTTTAGAGTTGATGCAGGTGGGCTGCAGGGGAGCTCCTCAGTCCTCTGTCTGAGAGTCCAGGAGTTCCAAGCCACAGGTAGACATTCCACTCTGTCTTATTAGAAATCTCTCTGGCAGAGCCAAAAGACAGGCCTCTCTGAAGCATCTGCTACAGAGAACAGGTCTGGGGTACTGGTGCTGTCTGGACAGCCAGCGTCTGTGTGGACTTAGGGGGATATGCAGAGGGTCTGGAGAGTGGACAGAGGACTACAGAGCTTCCATCACTAGGCTACCACATTGACCCAGTGGCTATTTCATATGGACTTGAGGGCCCTTGCCTATCCTGTAAATCTACCACACAGTGGGTCTGGCTGACTGCCTAGCCAGACAACATTTGGGAAGATGATCAGCCCTCTGAATGCCCACCCAGGGTAAGTCTGGTGTGCTTTTGGTTCCTGCCTCAAGGGTTGGAACTCAGTAGCTCTCTTCCTGTGGAGGTAGCCACCTTTCCTCCTTACTGGGAGCAAGACTTTTGTCAGTTCTTTGGTCCGGCCTCTGTTCTGATTCCTTTTGTATGGAAGAACCAATTGTTTTCACATTGGGCCATGTGGATTCCTTATCCTTTTATTACATATATTTTTTGCAACTTGGATTTCCAGTTTGTTTACAGAATAGTCTTAGGTAGTAGCAAAAAGAGCCAAAGAAGAGATTTGTATAGCTGAGCTCTAAGCCGAGCTGAGGCCGCCAGCAAAGCTGAGCAGTGGGAACTCTCCAGGCTCCTCTGCCCGTCAAACAACGGGCCCCAGCACCCCACCCCTTTGGTGCTCCCTTCTCCCCATGTGCCACTGCGTGTGCAGCTAGAACAGGATGCCCTCATCTTTAGGAATCTAGCGATGCCTCTTGCCTCAGGGAAACGTTTCTTTGATGGGGAGTTTATGAGATTTCTTTTCCTTGTTTATGCTTTATTTGTGGTAATGAAAGAGTGAGTGACTTAAACAGCCATGGCCAGGGAGAACTGCGGCCCGGCTACAGCAGAAGGTGGGGGTAGAGAGCGCTCAGTGGGATGCAAGGGTTTCTTTGGTGGGTGTAAGGCTCTGAGCACTTAACCAGGCGTGGCCGTTTCTTAGGTGTGAGAGGGGCTGTGGCTTTTGTGCAGCAACTATGTTGGTGTTAGGGGGTGGTGTGGAAATTGTTAATCTTGTATAAAGCAACACAATAAATTGTTTTGAGGTTTCCAAAATGTCTTTCCTCATTCTTTTGTTTCTATTGTATTTGTGATTCTTCAATACATAGACGCCTCGGTGTGTATGGAATGCTCATTGTGGCTGAGAGCCAAGGATCAGCCTCGTGTAAAGGAATCATTCTTGCTCTGAGTTAGAATCAAGCCACCAGATTTTTATTTTCATGCCATAAATAAAGTTCCCTATCACTTCCCATTTTCTTACTAATACATGAGATACAGAGAAGCAGAAATTTGTGTGGTGAACAATCAACTTTCGTATATCTAAATGCCAGTGAGATAATGAGGACTTGTAAGACTGTAAGTTATTGAAAGTAAGGCTAGCATCCATTATTAAGATCTTTTCATTTCAGAACTAGGAAACAGTTGTTGATGCCTGTCTTTCTGGCACATCCTGGCTAGCTTTCTAGCACCAAGAGCCAGGTATTATGGATTCTGGGCACATTTAGAGCCCAGTCTGTCTCATGGGAGGAATCACTACTGAGCAGGCACTGCTCATAGTTTGATCCCAGCCTGAAAGCTGAAATGGTGAGGAGGGCCAGCAGCTCCAGTGACCCAGTCTGGATAAATAGAAAGAGGCAGAAAGGAGGCCTTCTGCCCTCAATATTACTGTGTGATATGCTAAAGCCCGTGCTGTTTTTGTGAGTGTATGTGCAATATTTTCTTGTGCTGTAGTTTCCAGTTACAACCACTGATGATGGAGCATATAGGAAAGGGAAAGAAGAAAATATCAAGGTTATTAAATCATGAAAGGTGGGAGCATGTCACTCACTCATACTGAACAATGCTGAGCTGAGTTGCCTGCCCAGCTGGTGTCTGTGCTGGTATTACAATAGCTGCTCTGTAAGCAGCCAGATACAGTGTGGATAAAACACTTAGCTCAGAAGCCTGCATGACAACTGGGGAACAGAAGATACCCAGGAGGTTGCTGAGTAGGAGCAAGCCAGCCATCCCCCTCCAGGAAAAGCTAGGCAGAAGAGGCCTACTTCTGCCCAGAAACCAAGACTGCCAGCTCCTGAATGGACATATCCTTGTTGACATAGCGGTCATACTGAGCAGGGGTTAGCCTTCCACTACGCAGGGCATCCTCAATAGAGAACTTCTTGCCAGACTTTCTGTCATGAATCACTGATGACTCCCCATTAGGGCCTTTCACTGATATCTCCTCCCAGTCGCATTCCTGGCTTCTGAGCTTCACAAACATGTTCCAGTCGATGAGCCCAGCCCGGTGGGCCTCCTCTGGGGACAGCTCTCGGCCTGTGTCAGGGTCAATGACCACTATGGAGCGCCTCAGGTGGTTTTCCCTCTGCTCTCTCTTGACGGCCACAGAGCCCAGTCGCCTCTGCAGTTCATCGATCTCCAGATCCTTGTCCTTGGACATCTTCTTGAGGTCATCCAGTTCCTTCTCTAGAGACCACAGCCTAGAGTTGAGGTGGGTTCCAGAGTCCACCTTTGTAATGTTCCTCAGATCTCGAGTTTCTGTTGCTGCCATTTCAATCTCTGATTGGAGTCTCCGGGTCTCCAACTGCAGGTTTTGCCGCTCTAGCTGCAGCTTGTGATTTTCTTCTCTCAGGAAATCTAGTTCCTTGGATGACTTAGAATTGTAGAATTCTAACTCAGATAACTTGGCTTCCAACCGGGTAATCTCTATATCTAGCTCCCTCTTGCTCCGGCTCTCCTCTTCCAGGCTCTTCTTGAGCCGCTGGATCTCTTGCTCAGTGTCACCTTTTTCCACCTGGATGCTCTCAGAGAAGACTACCTTTTCCTTGATCTCTGTCTTCTCCAGGGTAGCCAGCTTTCTACGAAGGGGTTCAAGCTCGCCCTCCAGTAGCTGCCTCCGATGCCGCTCTTCCTCCAGCTGGGCTCGGAGCAGGGCATGCTCCCTGGTCTGCTGTGGGTCCTGCTGCAGCACCACCTTCTGTGTGTGGGTCACTTTCTCACCAGCCTTGGCTTCCTCCTGCTCTAGTACAGCCAGCCGCTGCTGCAGCCTCTGCACCTCCAGCTCAGCTGCCCTGCGTGCCTGCCGCTCACGCTCCAGTTCCTCCAACTGCCTCTCCAGCTCTGCTCGGCGGTGCTGTAGCCTCCGCAGCTCCACACGTAGCTTGTCGATCTGTCGAAGCTCAGCATCAATGCTGTCTGTGAAGGCAGTCACCTCAGCTCTTAAGTCTGGCTCATCTTCGTACTGCACCACCTCCTGGCGTACAACCCTTTCTTTGCCCTGTGCCAATTCTTCCTCCTTGCATCGGATCTTCTCTTCCTGGGATGCCCTCTCCCCTTCTAGGTCCACCTGTTTCTTCTGTTCTTCTGACAGCTTTATACGCAGAGACTCTACCTCCTTCTTGGTTTGGGGGTCTTCCTGGAACTGCAAGATCTCCTGGACCACCTCTCTAGTCTGCACCTGTGGCTTGGTGTCCTTCAGGGCCTGGATCTCCTGCTTCAGCTGGTAGATCTCCAGGTCACACCTTTCTATTAGCCTGGTCTTGTCCATGATCTCCTCCCTGAGCCGCTGGAGCTCCTGCTCTGTCTCTGGGTCAGTCGTGTATTTTATGACCTCTTTGGTCACCTCTTTGACTTCTACCTGTGGCCCACGCTTCCGGAGGGCCTCCAACTCACTCTGGTAGCTCTTCAGCTGCTCCTCAGCAGCTCTGAATTTGCGCTCCTGCTCCACCAGCTCCAGTCGGAGGTTGGCCACTTCACTCTCTGCCTTGGGATCTGGTCGCACGATCTCTCGGACCTTCTCCTGTACCACCACCTTGGCATTCTCCTCTTCCAGTGCCCATATCTTTCTGAGAAGCTCTGTCTTCTCCCGCTGTCCAGTGCGTGCCTTGGCAGCCTCATCCTCATACTGGCGGGTGAGGTCATTGACTTCCCTCCCTGTGGCTGCATCTTTCTCTACCTTGAGCACCTCCTTGACGGTGATCTTGCCTTCTGCCATGGCCCGTTCTTTCTCCAGTCTTCTGAGCTTGGCCTGCAGGAAACTCAGCTCCTCTTCCTGCTTCTCCCTGAGTGTGCCTTCCTGCTGGTGTTCCTCTTGCAGCCTTCGGTATTCTGCTTCCAGCTGAGGGTCATTCTGCAACTTTACCACCTCCCTCTCAGTGACCTTCTCCTGCACTCTGCTCTTCTCAGCAGCCAGGGATGCCACACGCTGCTGTAGGAGGAGCACCTCAGCCTCTCGGGCACCTTTCTGCCGCCGCAGTGCCTCCAGCTCCTCCCGAAGCTGCATGACCTCATCCTCTTGGGCTTTGTCTGGCTCAATGCGCAAGACCTCCTTGACCACATATTCTTGTCCCCCATCCCTGGTCTCCTGCTCTAGGGACTGCAGCCGAAGCTGTAGTGCTCCCAGCTCCTCCTGCAACAGCTGGTTCTTGTGTTGTTCATCAGCCAGGGTCTGCTGCAGCTGCTGGAAGCTCTCCTCAAGGGTGGGGTCTGGCACCTTCTTCAGCACCTCCTTCCTCACCAGTGACTCTTGAGGTCCCTGATCCTTCAGGGTCTGGATTTCCTCCTGGGCACTCCTGACCTCATTTTCCAGCTGCTGCCTTCGCTCCATCTCCTCTTCCAGTTCCTTCTTAATCTTCCATGTTTCCTCCGTGCTGGAGCCCAGCTTGCCCCCTTGCAGGGTCTCATGGGTCACTCCTGCTTCTGGCTGCTATGGCAAAGAAGACAATGGATGTATGGTTAGAGACAAGCCGGTCTGCTCACCTAAACAGGTTGGGTTAGTTGTCCTGTGGTCTTCTGGGGACTCCATTGGTCTTCTAGAGTTACTTTTACTCTTTTAAAAATTGAACAAGGCAAAATTTTGTAGGCACAGAGAAGTTTGAAGTGACACCAGTCTCCTTACCTCTGCCCTGACCCTAGGAGTATCTGTTGTCCTTGGAGACATTTTCAATGTATATTTTTAGTGACCTCCACGTTTACTTTTTCTATGCAGACAGTGCCATTAGTGACTGGAGGGGCAGAGTACCATCTTTGCTCAAGGTGCCACATCATTGCTTAACAGCAGTGTTTCCCCTGTGTCGACATGGTTTAAGCCACCACACTGCTGAGGAGTGCTGAGTTACTGCTAGTTTCTGGATGTGTCAGATAAATCTGTTATAAATGTCATCAGGTCCTAAAAGGTAATTTTTGGGGTTGGAAGGATCAAGTCCTTGGAAGAACAAGCACTTGAGTTCTGATCCTAGCCATGATATGAAAATGTTGGGTGTGGTGCTCTAGTGTGTATGCACTTGTAATCCCAGCACCCAGGAGGTGGAGACTGGAAGCTCCTTGGGGCTTGCTGGCCAACTAGTCTAACTTAATTGATAAGTTCCAAGTCAATAGAAAACCTTCTTGTCTCCACACACATGAGCATGTACATGCACCTGCACATAATGTGAATCCACATACACAAACATACCATTAAAAATAACTTTGGGGACTAGAGAGATGACTAGAAGGTTAAGAGCACGTGTTGCTCTTACAGAGGGCCCAGGTTCAATTTTCAGCACTCACATGGTGGCTCACAACCATCTGAAACTCCAGTTCTGGGTGATGTAATGCCTTCTGACTTCCTCGGGCCCCAGGCACACATGTGGTACACATACATACAAGCAGGCAAAACACTCGTAAAAAATCAAACAAACAAACAAACAAAAAAACTTTGAATAGGTCCTTAGCAAATGTCTTTTGAATTGGTATGGAAGTTATTCCATGCTAGTGTAGAAGGCTGGCTCAGGCTAGCATTTGAATTGGTCCTTCTCAGAAATGACAACAGAGGACACACTTTTCATTCATGAACCGTGTCTCTGAGGCAGAGGAATCTTTGGTTTCTTGTCTTGTAGGACAATCTGAAGTAGTTCTAACTAAAGTGGATTACCTGTCTCAGGAGACTCAGTGCAAACTCCAGGTTCTGCAGCCTCTGTCTGTTGATAGCATTAACCTCTGTGAACTTGGCAGAAAGAACAGCTTCCTATAGAGAAATTTTAGGAGAGCAGTTAGCAGGTAAGCTAACAAGCTAGAAGAAAAACAGAGCACTTGGGCACAGGCTAGGAAGAGCCTGGCAAGTGGTGAAAGGAGTGGTACTTTCCCATTCCTACCCATAGCTCCATCCATTGGTGGAGAGGTAGACTTAGAAGACCCAGGTTGAGTCTTGGTACGTGACCTTTGAGAAAAATCTTTCCAAATAGTCTTTTCATATGTGTTAGAGTATGTACGGTTCTGCATTACAGACTCACACAGGGGAGCAAGATGGGAGCTTCCCATGTGCCTGGCACTGGGAAACAGTGCTCAGGAAAGGACAGCAAGTTGGATGTCAGCCATGGGATTTCTGTTTCTTTCTGTCTCTCTGTCTCTCTGCCTCTTAGGCATTTTGATATCACTGCCCCAAAACAAGTTCTTCCTCCTCTTCCATGTGTATCACAGAGGACTGCATCCAGAGAGCCTTTGGCAGTCTTCACTCACAGCTTACCTCTTCCTTCACCTTGGCAGCAGGAGACTGCAGCCTGGCTCTCTTGTTCACATGGCTGTTCCGTCCATTCTCCAAGTCTAGCAGGGACCTCAGCTTCTCTGCTTCAAGCTCGTAGTCCTGGATAAAAGAAAGACGGTGCAGTAGTCAGCTAACAGCAGCAAAGGAGCAGCTGCAATGACTTATGCTCCATCTAAGGACTCTGACCTGCCCTTGGCCAGGAGCTGGTTTTACAGTCTTGCACATCTTCCTCACATCTGTACCTGAGCTGGGTGCCAGGAGGTTCTGAGAGTTTCTAAGACAGTGACAAGTTGCTATCTCACACAGCGATATACATACAAGAAAAAATGCTCTGAAATTCCCACTACTGCAGAGACAAACCAAGTGACTCTTGAAGCCCTTCCAACAGGCCCAGAGGCCAGATACCACTTCCTTAGTGAACACTACATCCTGAACTTGTCCTCCTTTCCTCCATCACAGACCTTGACATTTCCCATCAAGTAGACTTGATCATTCCCACAGATATTTCTGCACAGGCTTTGCTAGTTTGTTTTCCTGTTACAGAGCTGCCACATAATTTTGTTTGGTGTACATTGTTCTGTTGTTTTGTTTTCTTTTAGTATAAATGCCTACAAAGAGTTTACTGTTTCAAAGAGTATAAATGTGATGATATTGGGTACCTGGTGCCATACTGTTTTGCCAGAGGGCTGGACCTATACATGGCTACTTCCTGTTTTCCCAGTAACCTGTCCAGATTTCTCTGCATCTTATAATGCAAAAGCCCCTTCTGTGTGCTCTAACAGGGTTCATGGCTCACCTTCACAGCTTGCTGGTACTGCTGGGAATCTGCATAGACCTTCTGCACCTCCTGTTCTCTGCTGGCTATCTCATTAAGCAAGTTCTGTAAAACAAAAGATACTAGAAACCAAAACTGAACCAATGCATTTGCATGGGCATGCATGTACACACACACACACACACACACACACACACACACACACACATATCAAAAGTCTGAATCCTTAGAACCTAAAGTCAACATGCTATAGTTCCAAGTGTAATGATGGCTTTCTTGTGTACATTTGTTTACCACAAAGGGCAATGCCAAGGCCTGGAGCAAGAGACATGAAAATGAATATCTATGCCAGGAAACAGGTGTTTATTGTGCTCTGAAATGCCAGGCACTGTTCCGACAGAGCATGCAATCCTCCAGTGGACTTGTGAGCCAAGCCTGAGGAACTTGAGAATGAGGAAACAGAAGCTCAGGAAAGGACAGCAAATTGGATGTCAGCCATGGGATTTCTGTTTCTCTCTGTCTCTCTGTCTATCTCTGTGTGTGCACATGTGGAGGTCTACATCATGTGTCCTCCTCTATTGTGCTCTACTTATTTTTTCAGACAGGATCTCTCACTAAACCTGGAACTCAACCATTTTGGCTATTCTTGCAAGCCAGTAAGTTTCAGGGATCCATTTGTCCCTCTTTCCTCCCTGCTCAGTGCTAGGGTTATAGACATGCTTAGCCATGACTGGCTTTTTAAGTGGGCTCTGGGTCTCAAATTCAGGTCCTCATGTTTGCATGGCAAGTGCTTTTCTGACTAAATCATTTAGCCGTGGCCATTGGATTTCTGAGGTCCTTGTGGCACTGAAAAGGCAGAAAGCCCAACACTGATAATGAGATCTTCCCCCAGAGGGTTCCCTATGTTCTGTCAGGTGCCATGAGGCCAAGCCACATGAATATCTGTTGCTTTGAGCCCTATGAAGGGCATCAAGAGGGAAGAGGTGAGCGAGACATGCAGTACTTGTGAGGTGATACTAGAAGCTGTGGCCCAGTCCTTTGTCTTGCCTCACTGGGCTTGAGGATTTCTGATCTTCCCAAACATCCACTGCAAAGTAGAAGCAGCCATCTTACCTTCTGGTTCTTCAGCTTGGTCTCCACCTGGCTGAGGCTGTCTGTTTCCTGGGGCTGGTAGGTGGGGGTGTTAGCCAAGAATTGGAGCACTTGGTCATAACCGCGGCGGTACTCATTGTAGGCAGCTCTGGCACTCTGCAGGCACTGGGCCCTGAGGGGACAAAGACAATCTGGTCTACACAGCAGGCAGAAGCCTCACTGATCTCTCTGTTTTGAGGGGTGGTGTTCTTTCTTGGTTTGTATGTATGTAGGTAAATAGGTCAGATTGACTGGCCAGTGAGCTCCAAGAGGTCCACCTGTTTCCACCTCCACAGCTCTAGGATTATAAATCCATGCCATCATGCCTCCTATCCTTTACATGTATGCTGGGGATAAAACTCAGTTCTCATGTTTGTGTGACAAGGACTATTCTGACTGAAACTATCTTCGTAGCCACACTGAGTTTTAAAAGAGTAGAAAAGCCAACTGTAACTGAACTGGACAAACTTGAAACAGTCCCAGAAAGCAACAGTTAAACATGGATTATTAATGGGAGGGTTAGGAGCTGCATCCTGATGGTCACAGGGGCACTTGAGCAAAGGGAGGCTACAGTGGCGGCTGGGAAACCCTCCAATTCCCTCAAGATGAAAATTTCAGCATTGCAGTCCCTTTACAATGTTAAATTCTTACATGAGGAAAGGGAAAGCATCTTGAAACAACAACAATCTAAGCTCCCACCTTAGAAAAGAAGACAGGCACATTAAACCCAGTGCAAGCTGCCTAAAGGAAGCCAAGGGAAAGGAACACAGGAGAGAAAGGTCTGGAGCACCAAATTCTTTGAAATGATCATAAACCTATCAACCTCAGACAGACTTACTAGGAATAGCAACTGTAGCACACAAGCACAAGTGGAGGAGACAACACTGACAGAGCACAGCTCTTCAGAAGAAGAAAGACAGGCAACAGCCCACATTGATGCTACCACATCCACCTGCCTTTGGAGACATGTGGAAAGATGGGTGGGGCAAGGATGTAAGGTGAGGCTAGGGAGGTACTTCAGTGGGAAAAAGCACTTGCTGTGTAAGCCTGATCACCTGGGTTCAGCTCTCTAGACCCCATGTAAAAGCCAGATATAGTAGCATAGGTATCTGTAATCCCAGTGTTCTTACAGGGAGATGGGAGGAGCTCAGGAAGCTCTCAGGCAGCTAGCCTGACTTATTCAATGGTGAACCAAGACCCTATAAACAAGGTAGATGGTAAGAAAAAAATATGGGGCTGGAGAGATGGTTCAGTGGTTAAGAGCACTGGCTGCTCTTCCAGAGGTCCTGAGTTCAATTCCCAGCAACCACATGGTGGCTTACAACCATCCGTAATGAGATCTGGTGCCCTCTTTTGGCCTGCAGGGATACATGCAGGTAGACCATTGTATACATAATAAATAAAATCTTTTTTTTTTTTTAAGTAAGGACTGATATCTGAAATGATCCTCTAACCTCCACACTTCCCATGGCATCTACACTCACACACATACACAGATCTCTCTCTCTCTCTCTCTCTCACACACACACACACACACAGTGCTGATAGCTTACCTGGGACATTGCATTGACTTATTTTGTGTGTGTCACTTTATTTTTAAAAAGAGGAAACTAGGGCTGGGGAGACAGCTCAGCAGTTAAAAGTTAATGCTGTGCATGCATGAGGACTGAAATTTGGATCCTCAGAATACATGTAAAATCTGAATAGGCATGTGGCTCAACTGTAATTTCAGCCTTAGAAGGTGGACATGGATCCCCAGAGCAAGGTGATGACTGTGAGTCTAACTATATAGGTGAATTCTCGGCTTGACTGAGAAAGCCTGCCTGCCTCAGTGAATAATGCAGAAGAAAAATGAAGGATGATTACTGATACCAACTTGGGGTATGCACACACATACACCTGTACCCATACACACAAACATGCTTATGGACATGCACACTACATACACAGCACACACACACACACACACACACACACACACACACACACACCAACCCTACTCTATCCCCCCCAAAATCCAGAAAATGGTCTTGGGTGACACCAGCGGATCCCCAACCTCCTAGTATCTCAAGGCAGGCTGGCTAAGCCCGGCCCTTGCCCCAGCCCACTTGTCTGTGGTACCCCTCACCTGCGTTCCACCTGCTGGCTGAGGTTGTTGAAACGCTGGTTCAACTTGTGTACCTCGGCCTCCTGGCGCTCCAGGTCAGGGCAGTGCTCTTGGAAGCGGCTGGCCAGTGAGTTGGAGCACTGCTTGGCCACCTGCAGGTTCTGTTCCACCTCACCCAGGAGGGACTTCTGGGCCTGTAGCTCAGAAGCCATGGCCTGCCAGAAGGGCAAAGAGACAGCAGTGTTGTGGCCAGAGCTCCTAAGAACCTGGCAGTATCACTAGAGCACTGGGGCCTCCTGCTTTGCAAGGAGGTTCAGGCCTAGGAGCAGGAATGACAGCTCAACCCCCACACCTATCAAATCTGGGTCACTTTTGCAATGTCATTTCTTATTACAATAAACAATGCTCTGAAAAGTCAACTTCTGCAAACTGTTGAAGGGCCTGCCCTCTTCCAGCTATGAAGTTCTCACTGAGGCCAGTCTCTCTGCTACAAGGCCAGTCATAAGAAGGAGATAGAGAAGGACTGCTGCAGGCCACTCAGAGTGCCTTAGTGCTCAGGCAGGCAGACCTGTGTCTTAGGCCACAGCCATTGTGGACCTGCCCAGAAGCTATAGACCCAGGATGCTACATGTGCTTACCAGAGTTTCAGACACCGTTTTCTGCAGAACCCCCCTTGTAAAATACTGACCTTAATCAGGCTGGCGGCTGGAGAGATGGCTCAGTGGTTAAGAGCACTGGCTGCTCTTCCAGAGAGCCCAGGTTCAATTCCCAGCATCCACATGGTGGTTTGCAACCATCTGTTGTAACCCAGGGAGACCCAGTGCCCTCTTCTGGCTTATGTGAGCATCAGACAGGTAGTGCACAGATATATATGCAGGCAAAACACTCATAAAATATAGTAACTAAAACCTCCCAGGATGCACAGGCCCTAGGAACAGCCAAGAGAGAAGTCACTGCCCATGCTTATATCTTCCAGCTTGACACACCAGATGCTCTGAACCTTTAGGGCCTTCACACCCTCATCTGGTTATGGAGGTAGTTGTCCTGGCCAGATAAAGGGCTCCATGGTCCCTAGATTCTAGGGTTACCTCCAGCTCCTGCCTCTTGCTGTCCAGCAGGTGGCCACTTTCAGGCATTGTGTCATCCTGGGTCAGCCGGTTCTCTTGTGAGGCCAGCAGTTCCCTGCCCCTCTGAAGACTCTTCTCCAAGCGGTTGGCCACATCCACCCTAAGGACACAGGTCAACATCGTACGTGTAGGGGTCAGGTGGCCCCGTCACCCCTCAGTGGCCACCCTGCTGTCCACCTGCCACCTACTTCTCCTGGGCTGCATCTAGCAGCTGTACCAGTCGTTCATATTTCTGGTTGGTGTCTTCCATCCGGCTCCTCAGCAAGGGTGCAGTGCCGCTGCCCGGGAGGGCCTGCACAAAGGCCTCACACTCGGCTGTACGCTGTGTCTTCTCTGGCTCAATGTGCAGCAGCTCACTGGTAATGTTCTGTGGGGATCAAGACTTCCCAAGTCACCCACAGCCCATCAGCTAGCCCTCTTCCCCCAAGGATTTGCCCTGGGACAGTGGGAATGGCTGAGAAGGCCCACCTCCCTAGGGTGTCCATGCAGCGCCTAATCACCAGCCCAGCATTCTGTGGTCTTTTTGTTTGTTTTTGTGTGTGGATGTGCACATACATGGGTGAGGAAACCAAAGGTCACCCTCAGGTGTTCTTTGGAAGCCATCTACCTTGTTTTTTGGGGGGGAGGTGGGGTAGAGTGGGTTGGTGCAAGTGTGCAGGTAAAGGTCAGAGATCATTGCTAGTTCTTTCTAGATTACCTTGTCTAAGACAAGGTCTCTCACTGAGAACAGTGTGTACTGATGGGCTAGACTTACTGGTGAGCAAGCCTTACCCAAAGTCAGATTTACAGACAAGTGCAACCATGCTAGGATATTTTGTTTTACACAGGTGCTGGGGATCTGAACTCGGTCTTCATGCTGTGTGCAGGCACTTTGTAAACTGAACATCTCTTGTACCTTGTTTGTTAGTGTTTGATTTTGACACAGGGTCTCTTACTAGTAACCTGGGCTTCTCAATTAGGCTGGCCAGCCAGCAAACCTCACATATCCTCCTGATTCTGCCTTCTCAGCAGTGGGATTACAAGGTTGCCCCCTATGCCTAAGCCTAGCTTTTCTGTGAGTGCTGGGGACTGAATTCAGGGCCTCATTCTTTTTTTTTTTTTTCTATTTTTTTTCTTTTTCTTTTTTTTTTTTTGGTTTTTCAAGACAGGGTTTTTCTGTGGCTTTGGAGCCTGTTCTGGAACTCGCTCTGCAGACTAGGCTGGTCTCGAACTCACAGAGATCCCCCTGCCTCTGCCTCCCGAGTGCTGGGATTAAAGGTGTTCACCACCAATACCAACCCCAGGCCCTCATTCTTGCGTGTGAGTTGTGCAAGGCAAGCACTTTACTGGCAGCCATCTTCTCAGCTCCTGGGTCTATGTTTTTAGTGAGCATCTGGCACAGGTGGACTGTTAAAAGACAGTGACTCAGATAACAGGCAGGTTGCCAGTGTACACCAGATACTCTACACACTCCTTCTGGAAGACTCCTTGCAATCTTGGACAACCTGCCAGGCAGATAACTGTGACTCCACAGAGTTTGGGAAGGAATACTATGGGCCTGTGCCCCTGTCCCTCTGCCCCTTACCCCTATGCCAGGCAGCAGAGACCACTGAATTTTTCTGAACTCTTACCTCTCTCTAAACCAGGGGTGACAGACCCTACCACAAAGAGTTGTCAGGCAGAAGGGCATGAAAGCAGGTGGTGATAAATGGAGACATCTGCATCTTGCCTGGTCATTGGCAATGCTCACATGAAGACCATTTTGCTTTGGAAACCCTGGTATCTCAGGGCGAGCCGAAGTGAACTGGGCCTGCAGTTCCACAGCCCACATAGCCCTTGCCCACAGCCTCACTCAGCAGGTACCTGTTAGGATCCCAGTTCCTGCTACCATTATTATGGCCATGATCTCAGGCTGAAAAGCCATTTGGAAGCAGCTCCGACAGATACCTCTGATCTGGGAGCAGATACCAGGACAGGATATCTATTTGGAGTCTGATCCTTGGGACAGCCCACCACCCGACCTCTGTAATTATCTAGCACCTGCTTTGAATGTCTCAAGATGCCGTAGAGGTAGAACCTTGAGCAGGAACCCCAGAGAGCCAAGGGCCCAACCTGAGCCCCAGCCTGATAATACCTTGAGGTCCTTGGCCCGTTCAGCACTATCCTCTATTGCCCGTCCCTGTTCAAGTGGTGGCCGTAGGATCCCCGTGATGGCCTTTTCCTGTCGGTCCAGGTCACTGGCCACTTTGTCCAAGCCAGCTAGCAGCTGTCGCCCCTGCAGATCAGAGGTATCTGTCGGAGAGATGACAATTGGGGTGACAGTGAGGAGCACAAGGCCCCAAGAGCCAGCTGGGACCCAGAGCTGACCTTGCCTCCCTCCCTCAGCCCTCTAGCAGATATCTGTCACCCATGCACAGCACGGCATCTAGTCCAGCCCCTCTTCCATGTCCCTGACCCCTTGCAGGAAGCCCTGGTACCCACCTCCAGGGTTCTCTGTCCTTAACACCTCATACCGCTGCTGGAGTGTATGCTTGCTTCCAGCTGCCTTCTGCCGCACACTCCGGTACTGGCTGTCCAGGCTGTGAGAACAAAAACATACTGGGGACCTAGGCCTCATGCCACCCTCTTCCAAGGTCCCCAGTCTGGGTTGGGCAACAGCCCATGGGAGCCAAGCAGCTCCCTGGAGGGTTTTAAAAAGTCAAAAGTACTATGTGGGGCTGACAAGATGGCTCAATGGGTAAAGATGCTTGCCACCAAGCCCAGATGACTTGAGTTTGATCCCCAGAACCTACATGGTGGAAAGAGAGAACCAACTCTATCAAGTTGTCCTTTCACCTCCACGCCTGTGCTGTTGCATGAACATGCACCCCCTTTCCCCAATAAGTATTATGATTCAAGTCCCATGTGAGTCACTGCAACAAGGTTTGGGAAGAATCTCTTCTACCTTTGCCCTTTTCCTCTCTCCTTTACCTTTCATTGCAAGCCCTTCTACCTAAAACCACCTGTTCACTAGTGTTCTCTAACATGTGATCTCTAAGGGGGCAGTGCACAAAGCTTGATAAATGTCTGGGAGATGAATAAATAAAGGCATTCCCTTGAGTCTACTCATTGAGTAAGGAATTCTCAAGTGACTGACTTGTCACCAGATACTGTCATCAAGGGGCCAGGGCCTAGCAAGGCCAAAACACAAATCTCAGCAAAAGAAGTGTTGAAAGCCTGGCGTTGGTGGCGCATGCCTTTAATCCCAGCACTTGGGAGGCAGAGGCAGGTGGATCTCTGTGAGTTCGAGACCAGCCTGGTCTACAAGAGCTAGTTCCAGGACAGACTCCAAAGCCACAGAGAAACCCTGTCTCGAAAAAAAAAAAAAAAAAAAAAGAAGGTTGAAAGAGCTTGAAAACAGAAAGGAAGTGTGGGGACCCTACTGAGTCTGCAAAACGAGGACCGGAATCAGTAAGCAGCACACAGGTGCTGCAGGCGGGATGTTTAAGACTTGCAAAGGTCCAGAGGTACTAAGAGAAAATGCTTGCTATACTGTTCCTCAGCCAGACATACAGTTCAGCAAGCCAGCCGAAGCTGCCAGTATTCCTGGAGCCTTTAAGGGAGGCCAGGATGAGAGGTATTATTGGGGAATATTCAATCACACTGTGAACCCCTAGTTTGCATTTGCAGTAATTAAATAAAATGAACCTTGGGTCAGGAGGCTGAGTTAGCTACTATTTGACAGAAAGTAATCATAGAGCATAAGAGGGCATCTGGAAGAGACAGAGAGACACAGGAAGTAATAGGGAGGGTTTTGTTTTGTTTTTTAATGGGGTGGCTTTTTTTTTATTTTGGTGGAACAGAAGGGTACTTTCTTTTGGAGATGACAGGAGAGGTTAGCTTGTTGCTATTCAACCTCTCTGAGCTAACAGGTTTTCACCCCAGCCTTTGAATCTCCAGTTTTATTTATAAATAGAATGATAGGGACTTAGTTAAAAGCTACCTTTAGTGGAAGTGGCAGAGCTGGTGCCTGTGGGAACATAATTCCCAACAGGCTATGGCCTGAGTGGCTGGGCCGCTGCCAGAGAAGCTGGCTGGTAACTGTGGAGTCACAATTGCTGGCTGAAATAGCAGATTTAGGCACAGCCACTATGCCAAAGATAAAACAACAAGGTATAAGTCACACCCTACCGGACACTGAGAGGATGCCCAGGGTTGGAATAGAAGAGGCCTGTGTAGCCCAGGTGTGGGTCCACCATCATGCCCTCCTGTACCTGTCAGCAAAAGCCAACGCCTCGGGGTCCGTGGGTGGAATGATGAAGCAGACAGCAGGTGCACTCAGTTTCTTCCCTGTGCTGTCTGTCAGCTCCCAGCTCTCCCCATTGTTCTTCTGCAGTATGTAGCTATAGCCCCGAGAGATCAGGCCCTGGTGGGGATAGACCCAACAGTTACGATACACCTCAGGGCTGGAAGCCCAGTCTCCCCTTGCTTCATTGCCCTCTTAACTCTTAGACATAGGGATTCTTAGCCCACTTCTTACTCAGGCCACAGAGTGACATGGAGCCAGCAAAAAGGGATCACTGCTGACTCCCAGCTCAGCACCAATCTCTATTTCAACTTCAGTTTTGTTCGTTTTTGTGACAAGGTCTCATGTAACCTTGGCTAGCTTCAAATTCACTATGCAGCCGAGGATACTTTGAACTTCAGACCCTCCTGCCTCTACTCCCAGAGTGCTGAGCTTACAAGTCTGGTAAGCTTACAAGTGCTGAGCTTACAAGTCATCATCCATGCCTGGTTTCTGCAACTCGGAGAGTTGAACTCCAGGGTTTTGTGCATGCTAGATCAGTGTTCTACTCACTGAGATACATCCCCAGCCCCTCAATTTTACTTTGCGGAGCCATCCCTGCTCATCCCTAGTCCAAGTGGCACACCTCTTCTATATTCTCCCGATGGACATATGGTTGAGGCCTGGCCAATGAGAAGCTGGCATTCCCCAACCACAGGGGGAGGTTGGAGGTGGCTCAGATTACAAAGTGGGCCAATGAGGGGCCCCTGGGACTTTAGCTAGAATGGCTAGGGTGGCTTACCTGGCAAGATGAAGACAGGGCAGTGTGAACAGGGAAAGGGCATGGGGGAGCATATCTAGACCCCAGGCTTAGCTATTCCTAAGACGTGTGTCGTAGGTCCAGGCTGCCTAGGGTTCCAGGTAGTGACTGACCTGGTCACCCTCAAAGTCACAGAGGGCTTCCACAGGAATAGGCTTAAGCGGCGTTTCACGGCGGTACTTGAGCGGCACCACTTGCTGCCCTCGCCTCTGCAGCCCCCGTACCACATCCTCATACTTGTCCAGAGCCTTCTCCTGGTCCTGTAAGAGTAGCGCAGGGCCAGGTAAGGCCAGCTTCCATGCCCCGGAGGAGGGTGGGGCAGGCACTGGATGGGTCTGCTCAGGTCCAGGTCAGGGGAGGTGAGGGGACCCCTTCATGCTGTTACTCACATCCAGCTCCCGCAGCAGCAGCTCTATCTGATACCGGTCCTTGAAGTCAGGGCTGTATTTGTGGTTCAAGTCCGAGTCCACCTTGCGTAGCAGCTCCTGAGCATCCTTCATGTCTTTGTGAAACTAGGGGAGACCCACGGATACCGTCACAGAAGGAAAGCTACTACAAGCACCTCGACTTCTGGCTGTGGCTTTATGCTTATCCTCTAGGTGGGCCTTTATGCTTATCCTCATCCTACACCTAAGATGTGACCTGTCTGAGCCGTGGGACACTCCCTCTTCAGCCTGGCTCCCCAGGTCTCAGGGAAGAAGCATTTCTATATTGTGTTTTTTAGATACTAGTTCAGTATCTAAAGTTCAATATACTAGTTCAGTATCTAGTTCAGATACTAGTTCAGTATCTAAAACCTGAACTAGTAAGTTCAGGTTTTTCTCTGTGTTCTAGGAACACCCTAACAATACAGTCACATACAAACCTTCAGGTGAGGGCCCTCCATATGACAGGTACCTTACAAACATCTCACCCAGTGAAAACATGGCACACTTACATAATCACCCAACTGTGCATTTCTTGGAAACTGTCTGCATTGTTAAGCAGCACCTAATCATACTTTAATTCTAAGCCAAGCCAGCTACTTCCACTTCTTGTTCTAGAAAGTTCCCTTGCCCATTCTTCGGTCTATCAACTCTTGACTCATTTATTTTTAGCTGTCCCCTGGGCAGAACACTCGGACTGCTTCCTTGAGTAGGACTTTTGGACCTTTGTGAAGTCCTATGTGGCTCAGACATTCCACCAAGAGTCATGCAGGGTCTGCTGAGTTCAAGTTCCAATCTTAAAACCTCAAATCAAACAGACGTGGTGGCACGGTCATCCTAGCTACTCAGGAGGCTGAGGCAGGAGGATCACAAGTTCAAGATTGCCTAGGCTACAGTGAGTTCAAGTTCTCCACTTAGTAAGACTGTCTCCAAACAAAAGGTTAAAGGAAAGCTGGGGACATAGCTCAGAGACAGAGCCCTTGCCTGGCAAGTGAGGTCCTGGGTTCAATCCCTAGTACTGGAGAAGTGTGAAGAAGACCCTACATTATGGCAATCTCCTACAGTTCTTATTAGAAACACACAGTCCCATGAAAATGCCAATTTCTGTGGATAGATGGGTATGTAAACAGCTGCCCACCCAGACAATAGGCAGCTGCTTGGCCATAAGAAGGAACAAAGTGCAGAAACACGCTATACAGAGGTGAGTGCCAGGACATCGTGCTCAGTGAGAAAAGCCAGACACACAAGGACAAGAGACATGGTTCCTGTGTCTCTTACACCTACTCTAGCCAATACCAGGCAAATCCAGAGACAGGGAGTAGGTCAGAGTCATCAGGGGCTGGGGGATGGGTGGGGGTACTGGGTACTCGGTTTCTATTTGGCTGATGAAAAAGTTGAGGAAACAGAGGGTGAGGTTGTCCTGTATTGTGAATGTAACAAATGTTAAAGTAAAAATAAGCTGGGCATGGCAGCTCAAGAGGCTGATGCAGGAGAATTGCTGAGAGTTTGAATTCAAGGACAGTCTGGGCTATATATTGAGAACTTGTCTCAATAAGGTGGGGGTAGAAATGTTAGTTTTCATGAAAGGAGACTAAAATGGCAAGTTTTATGTTTTATATAACTCAGCAAAATTAAACCCAACAGGTGGAGTGGAGGCAGGAGAATTGAGAGTCAAGTTCATCCTCTACTACATAGAGAATGGCTAGCCTGGGCTACATGGGATCCTGTGTCAAAAAATCAAAACCTTGGTCTAGTGAGACCACTTGGCAGATAAAAGTGCTCATGGCACTGGCACAATGACCTGATGGAGGGTCAAGAACTCACTTGTGGAAAGCTGTCCTCAGACCTCCACATGTGTTAAAGAGGCCCTGCATGCACCCAGGAACTCCTGAACCCTCTCCCGTGCCTGGAGCCAGACAGGTACCTGGTGGTAATCCTCCATATACTTCAGGTGGCTCTCCTCACAAATGAGTAGGTTCAGGTACTCCTTCCACTCCGCATGCACAGCCTCCATGTGTGCCTGCCAGGGAGACGAGAGACCCATTACTGTGGCCCAGGGGTCTGGGACACCAAGAGAGGGACTGGTAGGAATCAGGTGGGGAGGGTAGAGAAAGGGAGGCTCCATCCCAGGTGAAGGCCCCCCCCAAGGTAACCAGCTCATGTTCAGATGGAACAAAGACAGGGGGACATACTGAGAAGCCAAGGAGGGTTATCATATACAACCAAGTTGGGGACTGTGTCTACTCAAAGCAGTGCCTTTAGCAAATTCCCACAAAGAGGGCTGTATCCCCATCATAGAGTACCATCCAGCACTCACAACCCAGAACCATATAAACACTAGGTGTGTGCTACCAGTAATCCCAGTACTGGAGAGGCAGAAGCAGGTGGGTCAGAAGTTCAAGGCCATCCTGCCATCCTTGTTATATAGTAAGTTCATAGCTAGCCTAGGCTAGCTATGAAATTCAGTCTCAACTTAGCCCTGTAATGGACTAAGAATAAGTTCAGTAATAGAATGCTGGCCTAGCATGTTCAAGGCTTGGGGGTCCCATCCCCAGCACTGGTAAAGAGCAAAGCTTCTATAGGTGGTTGCCCAGAGTGGGCTGAGTGCCCCCTAGGCTCTTTCTACCTGGACCACTTGGAAATAGGGTAAAGACTAGGCTGAATGAAGATTGCAAGATGAAATCATGATGGAATTAGGTGCTTTAAAAATAGGGGAAACAGCTCGTATGGTGGTCAGGACTCCGGAGGGTAAGCAAGGGGATCTAGAGTTACAGCCCATGGTAGGCATGTGGCCCACACCTTTAATCCCAGCACTTGGGAGCCAGAGGCAGGTGGATCTCTATGGGCTTCACCGTGAGATGAGAGAGAGGAAGGGGAGAGGAGAGGAGACAGACAGAGACACAGAGAAGAGTGAGTTTGAGGCCAGCCTGGGCTACATAGGGAGACTGTCTCAACAGAAAAAAGGAAGAAACAACACACACAAGCAGAAGAAAAAGCAAGGGGAAGTTGCCGGCAGAGATAGGTCAAGTTCCCGTATGAAGATGAGAGGACCAGGCATGGATGGGAGAGATGGGGGAGCCTCTGAGGAGTGCAGCACTGGCCACACCCAGGGCTCACAGGTCAGCCTCCAGATCTGTGAGCACATGCGACATCCCATGTGACAGTCTGCATGGCAGCCTCAGAAAACAAACCTGGGCCGCATCCAAGCAACAGTCAGCAGCGCAGGCAGAGTTTGGGAGAGGACCAAGGCAAAGTGTGTGTGGGGGATGACAAGATAGGTGGCTCAATGGTCATGGGGTGCAGCTAGGATCTCCCAGCTCCAGCAGAGGCACCCCTAGAGTGAGCACCTTCTCCTGGGGTACACACCTCAATGGAGTTCCTCCCGGGGTGCTCAGCCGCCAGCAGTTGATCTCCCTCGGTGTGCAGTTTGTTGATTCTTTCTTCTTTGGCCTCCAGGTTCCGGTTGATGAAATTCTACCAGGAAGCAGGTGGGGTCAGCACCTGGCTTGGCAGCCCTGTGTCCCACACCACAATTGCACCTGGCCTTGTGCCCACCTCATACTGGCGCCGGCGGCTGGGGTAGTCGAGGTTGCGGTCGCTCCAGTCGTACTGCATGCGGCCCTTGGCCTGCTGGTCCAGCCAGTACAGCTCGTTGGTGCAGCGTTGCATGTAGTCCTGCAGTGAGCTCAGGTGCTGCTGCCGTGCCTGTGACGCTGCCTGTGAGACGAGAGAGAGCGTGAGGTGAAGACAGCACCGGGACCCACCTCTTTGGGGGCCCAGCTCAGCCATTTCCCAGTCAGGCAGGCCCTTTTGGGTGAATCACCTGATCCTCTGGAACACTCAGTCACAGTGTTTATGGAACACTAACTAGATCTGCAACATGGCTTGGGGACATATCACTGGGACATTTCTGGGGACATAACAGTGAACAAAGGAAAAATATTCTTGGGACTGATGTCTCCTTAAAGCTTCAGCTTGCCATCTATAAAGTGCTCACACATAGGCATAGAGACTGTCACATAGTTGGCACTCAATACAGCAGCCATATCTTCTACATTTGCCTTTTTAAAAAAATCATTTACTCACTTGACACAGGGTCTCAAGTAGCTTAGGCTGGCCTCAAACTTGCTGTGTAGCTGAGGATGACCCTAAATTCCTGATCCTCCTGCCTCTTCTTTCAAGTGCTAGGATGACAGGTGTGCACCCCATGCCTGACTTTATTTGGTGCTGGGGATGGAGCCCAGGGCTTTGTGCCTGCTAGGCAAGTACTCGACACACCAAGCTGCATCTCATGTCCTTATGATTATGTTCAGAGGGGCATCTGAAGCCTCTGAGGGCAAAGAAGGGTTAGGGAAGGCTGGGAGGCTTGCAATTCATCCTGTAAAATAAGTACAATGATGCCCGGCGGTGGTGGTGCACACCTTTAATCCTGGCACTCGGGAGGTAGAGGCAGGTGGATTTCTGAGTTCAAGGCCAGCCTGGTCTACAAAGTGAGTTCTAAAACAGCCAGGACTATACAAAAAAAGGAGAAGGAGAAGAACAACAACAACAACAAGAAGTATGCACACATTCATACATGCAGGCACACGTGCACACACATGCCTGGACCATGCTCTAGAAAGTGCACAGCATTCATTTGCAGGTAGTAATGCCACATAAAGAATTGAGTAGGGCTTAGTATAGCTCTGTTGGTAGAGTACTCACCTAGAATGCATGGAGCCCTGGCTTCCATTCCTAGCACCTCACAGACTGCTGTGGTGACACTGAAGTACAGTGCCACCTTTAGAAGGTCATGGTGTTCCAAGCCCCCAGCTCCAAAACCTTCCCCTCCCCACTCAGTCCTCTCCCGTCTCCCATCTTCTCACCAGCAACTTCTGATACTTTGCTTGGAGTTCACTGTTCTGCTCCTGTGGGTAGAGCCAAGGAATGAGGTTAGACCAAGTGTACCCCTCTCCACACTACTTTCAAGACCCTACCACATACACACCTTGTCCTTGTCTTTGGTCAGGTGGGGCCCAATGGCTTTGACTTCATTGTGGAAGATGTTGTGTTGCTCCACCTGGCTGTCCACCAGAGGAAGGTCAGTCCCAAAGCCCTGGCTGCTCAGCTTATCCTGGTGGGAAGGTGGAGAAACACCAGGAAGAAGATGTGGGCTGAGTGCAGACTAAAGCAAGCCCACAGGAGCCTGGGCTGTTAGCCCCAGCTGGGTGAGTGCCTTTTCCTCCACTTTTTCTGGAGTGCAGAAATCTATCTGGTGGCAGGCATCTGCCTGGACCACTGCTGATGTCCATGCCTTAATCTCACAGTGATCTGTGGGACCCTGGTCACTATTTTCATTTTACAGGTAAACAGGTGAGAGGGAGTCCCTTTCCCAGGGTCACACAACTAACAGTTGCTGAGACATGCCACAAAGACACTCAGCTGTGGCTGCCACAAGCTTCTCCAATCTGCCCACATAGTCCTGCGAGGACACCAGTGAGATGGGCATGAGGGACATAGCTGGTGGGGAACGAGGTCTGACTGTAGGACTTCAGGCTGGGCACTGTCCTTCTCTGAGCCCTGCTCCTCTTGCTATGCAATTTCAGGAGACTTGGTGACCCCCACTCAGCAGGGCCAGCGTGCTGTGAGAGATGACCCCTCTCCAGGCCGTACCAGCTTCTCCTCCACCAGAGCAGCCCAGTTGACCTTCGGGTCTGCCTCCTTCACTGCCAGGCTGTACATCTGCTTGTGTTTTCCCCGTAGGTTGGTCACACGCTCTTTCAGCTGACGGATGCTGTGTAGGGGGATAAGCTATCGTGTTAGTGGGACTTGCCCAAATAATCACTATGTAAGCCCTGGAGGGGCCTTGGGTCTCAGCCTGGGCTTCAGATCAGTGAACTGGAGAGGGGGGCAGTGGCCCTGGGCACCAGACTATTTCTGAATCATGTTGTTCCCCAACCTTCCCTCTCTGTTTTCAGACAGGCTGCTATAGAAGGTTTAGGAAGAAATAGGCAAAGCCACTGTTCACTAGAGCACATACCCAGCACAGCTACAGGCAGGGGTGTGTCACATAGGGACACGCACAGGGGGCATGGGGCACGGACATAGAAAATCCCCTGACCCTATGGAGTGGGTGCTGGTTCACCCGTGATGAGCTGGCCAGTGGGCCATAAGCTCAGGAGACACAAAGACCATCAACTCCCAAAGCCCCAGTCCCCAGCTATGGCCTTGTCATTAAGTATAACACAGGCCTCTGGTATACATGTTTGCTGTCCACCTGTGCTGTGTGTACCCTACAGCAGAGAGTAGTTCTCAAAGTTGGAGAGCGCCTGCCCTCCTTCCTGGACCCCAGCCTAACATGCCCCTAGGGACCACACAGAGGGGACTTACTCCTCAGCTATCATGTCCCCCTGAGGGTGCTTCATGTGCTTGGCAATGGCCGCATCCGCCTCCAGCACGTATAGCAGCTTCTCCGAATCAGACACCTTCTGGAGGGCCGTGTCCCGGTGCTCAGGGGGCTGCCCCTCTTGCAGCCGGGCCAAGTCCTGAGAAGGAAAAGAAAGGATAATAGTGGATACCACAGGGCCTGGGTGGGGGGAGAGCCAACTGGGGGCTCCTCTGGCGTTGTCCAGACTGGCACTCAGCAAACACAACTGGGCACCAAGACACAGGGGTGAATGATCCCACTGGTACCTAGGAGGAACTCTGCCTTCCTGGCGTTCATAGCCCAAGCTGGGAGATACCCTGCAAAGCAAGCTGACAGAAACCTCATAGGTACCAGAGAGGGAACAAGGGGACCCACTTTAGCTCCAGCTCAGGGAAGCCCCTCTGAGGTGCTGACAATCTAGGATGAAGGGCAGAAGGGAAGTATGTTCTAGGCAGAGGGAGCAGCCTGTACAAAGGTACTGATGAAAGACACCTGGTATGGGTGAGCTTGGCTGTTCTGTGCTGGGGTGGCCACAGTGGTGATGGAAGGAAGAGTGGGTGGTAGATACTTACTTAGAGTTGATAGCTTCCCTGTGAGTCTAGAATCCGTTTAGAGAAAACAGCTAGTTGACAAGATGGGGGTTCTGTCTTTTTAAAAGGAATAATTTTGTATTTGCTATCTGTGTGTGTGTGTGTGTGTGTGTGTGTGTGTGTGTGTGTGTGTG